TATGAATACCAACATAATGGGGCACCAATCAGCGAATAGCTACATCACTAATCACCTCACCGAACAGTCTTGAGCATGTGTAGCGACCCGTGCCGAGAAAACTGTGCTGAGCATGGTTTGTAAGTGTTCCGTGTTGGCCACTGGGAACCATTACTGTCCGTGCCCAGAATCATTGACGATAAGAGATTTCATAGAAGAAAACAAAAAAACCTCAAAAGATGTCAGAACTAAGGCTGTGCATTAGGTCTGGACAATCTAAAATTAATTAGTACTCTAGCACAAAATGATGTACAACTGTAGGCTTATCTTTTTAGACGACATCACTGGTGTTGCACAAAAACTACAGTGGCACGCAGAGGATCATGTTCTATTATTCCAAAACAGCTGAGGGACACCGGTAGCTTTTTTATGTCAGCCGAGTAACGGAGGCTGTCTCTTCAGATAAAGTAATGAGTTTAAATTAACATATGAGCAAAACCATCACATTTCCCTGAACTGTCAGCCTGTATTTTCTCAAATTTCCTCGCAATGAAACAAATACTACATAGTGATTTCAGTATTTGAACTCCGGCACCTCCAACAGTTAACTGAGTACTGGAGCACTCGTGCACATCTCCAGTAAGAACAGGTCTATGTATACCATCGTCTCACTTCCCCAAAATTGAGAATCACTGCTTAACAGCACCGTGAGCTTTTGGGATGCCTGATTTTTACTTGATATGGTGTTTACAGGGGTATATTTTAAATATATGAACTGTTTCATGTGCTCTTTTACCGACTACCCAAGAAATACAATATACAGAGGCGACCAAAATGTGAAGAATTCATGGTAAGGCAACTATGAAACAATTCAATTAGCCAACGGAGAGATAAACTGTCCATCATTACATGAATGACAGTGATATTTGGACACTGACAAGTAAACTACGCATTAACTCTAAAAACAAATTTAAAAGAGTAACACTGCAGATGACAGAGATGTAACTGAGCCAGTTTAGCTGAGAGATGGACAGATGCAGGCTGGGAGCACAGTTTACATGCAGAAACACTGAAATAATATGAGGCATTTACAGTTTGAGAAACTGGACCATAACATATATGGACGTAACCTAGAAAATGCTCTGGACTCAATTTTTATATTATAGCAACATATATTTAAACTTATAAACCCTTACACTCTCAAGTGACTGCCACTAATTCATGATAACGATATACTGTTTAAACAGCAGTCCAATAATTTCATTTCTGAATGTCAAGAGACTTGATCATTTCATGGTTCCCCCAAATCAAATTACACAACTTCTTATTTAATTAAAAAAATGAAAGCACAAAACCTCATGTGCACCTTTAATAAATGTTTTAAAGGAGGACTGAACTGAACTGTTTATCGTTCAATAAGCCAGAGGCGTGTGCGCACAAGCCGAGCCCACTGTTTAAACTTCACAAATGAAAGAAACGAAAGCAGTGGTAAACAAATGATGCCGAACATTTCACAATAACAGGGATAAACTGGGCCCACGTGGTCAAGGGAGGATGGACTTCAGATCCCAAACAGCAATTAACTAAAAATGGAACACAAAAAGTCCTACAGTGCTGCATCGGAAGACAGATGAATCTGCACGAGTTCCTATAACCAAATTACGGCTGTACGATATTTTAATTAAATAAAGGTTTAACGCGTGCACGCATGAGTCTTGTAAACCTGCTTAAGTAACAACTTGTGCTTGACGAAAGGCCACAGAGCTTCTTACTGCAGACTTAAAAAAAAGTTTCCAACACAGTCCATGCAGAACCTCTAAAGCACAGTGATCAGAGATGTTACAGCCGCGGAGGTAAATATGCGGCTTAGACTCCGAAACCTCGGTCGTTACCAACAAAGCAGTAAAAGCCGATCTCACAGCTCATCCGCTGTGCTTTAACAGGCGGCTACAGCGACTCCGCACACACAGATATGGACAATACTGCATCGTGTGGAGCCTCTAAGTGTTTTTAAAGTCAGCAACAAAACTTAAAACTGGTGTTCGGTAAATACACACAACCAAAAAGTGATGCTAAACCTGAGGTATCGGACGGGGTCACCGCTAAAGTTTAGTTCTCAGTCCGCCGCTGGCTAGTTAGTTAGTTACCGCGGTTAAGTTAGAAATCTCAGACTGAGCATCCGACGCTAGCTCTCTAATAAACTGAGATTTACATCCCGAAACGGCTAAAACGGCGCCGCGCCCTCCGTTATCGGTCGAACAGCACTGGTGTTTTCATATTAAGTTGAAAAGAGCGGGATAAAAACGAAGGCACGCCGAGGGTTAAGTGTTCGGGAACAACAAGTTAGCCGAGCCGGCTACCGGAGAGAGAGCTGCACTGGTGCACACACAGAGCAGAGCAGCGGCTGATTGAGGCTAACAGACAGAGAGGAGAGCACAGAGCGGAGAGAGAAACATGAACAAACTCTACTCACCCGCAGACCTTTTCTCCTGCACGGCTATCCAAACACACGACTCGAGTGCCCGCTAAGTTATTTTTAAAAAAAAACGAGAATTCAAAGTCTTGTTGACAGCATCGCTCACAGAGCCGCCATCTTCACTGAGCTCTGATGATGTTGGGCCGCTACTCCTGGCCGAAACTCTGGACGAAACCAAGTCAGCCCGTCAAACAGGGAGACGCGTCCAATCTCTTAAAACTACGAACAAGGTAATTTGGGTGTAAGTGTTACATATGCCAAAACGAAGACCTGCTGCGTTTATGTAGCTGTATACTTTAGATCAAACCCACCTAACTATATGGATTTTGTCACCGCGCGGGAACAATCCCTATCTGCTCCCCCCACAGCAGCGCGAAAACCGTCGGTAGAAGATCCCAGCTGAAAGCGCCACCTCTCAGCCTTTTTGTCCCAGGTAAGGGGCTCGATTAGGGGGCGAGCTGCGGGACGTTATCAGCCGGGAAAACTCTTCCTTCCCACTAGTGTGGGAGTGGGGGCGTCGAGGGGGCCCTGATTTCAGGTGTGCAACTGCTAAAACAAAAATAATACTGAGATGTGAACTTTTATCAGTTTGAGCGCAGTAAAGACTCAAATGTGCTTGATTCAGAGAAGTTTGTGTTTTTATGTATATATATATATATATATATATATATATATATATATTTTAAAGCTGCAGTAGCTGCACTGTTTAAATGAATCATTTATTGTCATTCCATCTATGTAGAAGTACACAGTGGAGTGAAATTACGTTCCTTCAGGCACATGGTGCAACAAGGAACAAAAAGTACAAAGTGCGAACGCGCAGACATAAGTGTGCAAACAAAAAATTAAGCTAGAAACAATACAATAAATACGATAAATAAAACAGACATTAGACACAGTAAACAGACAGGACAGTGCAGCGCCGACACAGCACTCATTTCTGAGCATGAGGTAGTGGAATAACGTGCAGAGATATTTAACATGCTGTGATCTGTGAGTTTACGCAGTCAGATAACATACGTGAGCACAGCAGTTACTGAGGTAGTAAAACACACACAGGCTGGGTTTAAAGAGAGAAGGTGTGTGCAGAGATAGAGGCCAGTATTGAGACCCAAATTAGCCATGTCCTGTTTTTAAACTGTTAATAAACCACACAACGCAATATTAACATTTTATCAACCGTTTTATCTCCCGCTCTGTGCGGGTTCTCGCCGCTCGACTCTGGGCGTGACGTAATCGATTACCGCGCCATATCAACAATCTGATTGGGCGCACTTGGTTAATTTACATAAAAAATGTACATTAGGAGTCTGATGAGTCAGTTATATGTATATATTGTCGTCTCTCGCAACATTATAGTGCAGTACGATACATTCTGTTCGATGTAAGGTTAAAAATTGTAAAAAAAAAAAAAGGCAAATAATTTAACGTCATCGTCGCGTCACGTATATTCTGCTTAAAATATCAGCACCCCTGGCTTAAAACACCTTCCCGCGTACCTGCCAGTGTGTAAGGAGTTTTTGTTGCAAACGACGCAAATTTCAAAGAGTTTAAATGAGATTATTTTTTGCGTCGCTTTTTGGTTCTAGTGTTCTGAGCGGTGTTCATGCCTTCTACCTGAGAATTAGCAATAATGGATCAGAAATTTTAAATTTAGTCAACAATAATCTGCAAATGTATAGTAGAATATAAATCTGTGCACATAACTAAACCTAAACACTTGCAGCCGTGTACATCCGTGTTGACCAAACGGTTGGAGACATCTGAAACAGCAAGTCTTACATTAAATAAACTAAATGATAAAGAGATAATTATAATATGTAATTGTAACGCAACCAAATGATAAAACATTCATAGGTAGATCGGTTCTCTCCGGACTGGACTGTGATATAGTTTCAAAATTCACCCTACTGCGCCACCTGGTGATGAAGTAAAGGTGTCCATACAGCTTCAGATTAGTTACACATTTCTCATTGAAGACAACAGCAACAATTATATAATTATTATTGTTATTATGTGTTCCAACCCTCAGTGTACTGCATGAGACGTAGGTCATGTACCCTGAGAGTCTGTACTCTGTGTAAATATGTTGACATTATTATTAATAGCTTATAAGCAAACTGGATGAACACTCACTTTTGAAAACTACCCAAGACCCATGTCTGGTTTTATAATACAAGATCCTTCCCTTAAACTCCTTTTAAATTTTGTGTCCATTAATTTGAGAAGCTGCACCCAATTTGTTAATGCTAACTAGAAAATCCGACCCCAAGGTTACTCTTGAGTTCTGGTCTTGTCATACTGAGTCATCTTCAAGGGAAATTAGCAGGAATGGGTACAGGAGATGACTAGCTCAATATGAACGTGTACAGTGCAACACAAAACCCACAAAATTAGTGTTTTGAGTTATCTTTATTAAGTAAACTCTACATTTTCAATATTGCTTTTTGTCTGTTCCATTTTTAGTTTTTTTTTTCCTTTAGTCTAGATTACAGCCTTTTGCAATCAGCAGTTTATATATTTATATATTTATATATATATATATATATATATATATATATATATATATATATATATATATATATATATTTTTTTTTTTATTCCCAACCAAGCTACACTTTGAAGAATACAAAAATATCACAGTACATTTTCTACACAGTCACTCCCTACTAGTGAGTTCCAAAGCTAGCACTGGACTTAAAAGTGGAACACAGGGATTTGGCGATGCCTTTGATGGACCACCTGTCCAGAAGAAGCTACAGTGGGTGAAAAAATCAGAGAGAGTGAGCATGAGAGACAGACAGAGGTCAATTTAGATTTGAAAAGAGAATACTGCTTGTGTCTGTGTATGCACAAATACTTGCTGGTAATAAGTACATATAAACAGAAAACAAAACACAAATATCCTTCAGATTTAAGGACTGAAAAGTCAAACGACATACAGAGGGCCTAGTTGGCAGTGGACTTGTTACTGATAATTTGTGAAACACGAAGAGTTATTTAAGCTTAAAAAAATATAGATATCTGGTCCAGCCAGACCTCTGTGTTCCAAGACTCTCAAGCCCCTGCCACCAACAGCTAAGTGGAAATAGGAACTCACATAGCAGTCACTTAACATTCTCTTACTCTCCAAACTGCTCTCTGCAGACATACCATACTATACAAAATATCAAAAAAACAAAGAATAAACAAAACATAGAAGAATCCTCACCCGTACTCAGATTATTGTTTCATATTAAATGTCTGTTTAATTCTTTTAACAAACTTTTTTTCCCTCGTTTGAACACGGTGTGAATATCCAAAGTTGAAATCTTTCATGACCGGTGGAGGCTCACTCCTCCAAGGCAGAGGAATGTTGCAGTATGAGTCTGACATTTAGTGGTTTCATTCAAATTTGAAGAAACGAACATCAAGAAAACAAATGGAAAAAAAGAAAAAACTTCGTATTTCAACCATTTAAACAAACTCAAGGGAGGAGAGCACAGAGCATCAACATAGTTCAGTGAAAAGGGAAAAAGGACAGATTCTGAGGATAAACACTAGTCATAAGTTACTCGACATCACACATAAAATATTCAGACACAACAATGAGCTCGTCAACTTATTAAGGGCAGGAACCCTTCAGACTTGAATTACTCCCAGGCCTTGGCAACTCCGCGAGACTGCACACTGGTTACCATCCTGGAGTGCTCCAGGGCCAAGAGGAGGACTGATTGTGCTGCCAGTGATGGGCTTGTGCAGGACATGACCTGGTAGGTGGGCTGTGGGTCAGACTGGGCTGGGCTCAAAGCTGCAGTTGAGTCCCAGCTGGTATGTGGAGCGCTCAAGGTGAAAATGTGGCCATCTCCAGCGAGATCCGCTGCCACAGCTCCTTGGTCTGCTTCCCCCTCTTCAGGTTCTGCAGGATGTCATTGAACTGCATCATGCCCACCGGGGTCAGGCAGAAGGCCCCACGGGCACTCCGGATGATGTTCACAAAGTCGTCGTAGTCCGCTGGGGTCAGGTGGATTAGCCGGTGGTGGATGTACTGTGGGAAGAACCAGGAAACATGCAATAAGGCACAAGAGCATGGCTCAGTGATTTCTGGTGTGAAAGGGGCATTCATCAGAACAAATACTGATGCTACTTGATGACTCAAACTTCACTATGTTTATTTTGTGAGCAAATAAATAGGGCAGAAAACGTAACGCAGGGATACTGATAGGGACAGACAGCATACAGAACATGCTTCCCATCAGCAACGCTACAAATGAGTCACTGTCAGTCATGGTAGATCTTTGCTCTGATGCATGTCCTGGGTACCTAATGTCATTGGCCAAATATAGAGAGTGATTCAATCATTGTGCTAAATTATTCAAATGTAATTTATGATTATAGTTACTATACAGTCATACTTGAACACCCCTGGTAAAATTACATGTTTAGCTAATTAACAATCTTCTACAGGGAACAAACTTAAATATATTGTAGTTCACATTTTGTATAGTATAGTGGGGAAAAAAGTAAAGCACAAAATATAGAATGTAAGTTTTGCACTAGCCACAAATGTGCAAATGTGTCCTCTGTAGAAGATATAGTAATATATCTATAGTATAGTACATATAGTATAGTTAAAGAACAAATTGCATTAAATTTACATTCTACTGTGAACTGACATTTTATTCTGGTCTATTTTATTGTCAAGCAATGACAAAAACATGCAAAAATGTAAAAGGTTTTCCTTTGCAGAAAACAAGACTCTTTAAATATAAGCAAATTAAATATCTTCCTTTTATACTCGCAAAGACAAACATTGTATGGATTTATTTTGTTTATAACTTGTTTAGGAGAACTCTTCAATTGTTTAAATGAGCTAGGACCGACAAATAATAAATATGAAATGACATATGCCAGTGATAACGGCGACTTGCAGGGCGAACACAAGGTTAAAATTGCATGAAAGGTACAGCAGCTGAAAATATGCCTAACTATGATACTGCTGACAGTATTTGATAGTAAGTTCCAGAAACATTTGTATGGCTTACTAAATATTCCTTCGAGAGAGCATGAGAGTAAGCAATGGTGAGAGTGAAAGAGACAGAGAGCGTGAGAGAAAACTGAGAAAGAAAGAGAGATTGCAGGAGAGATTGAGGGTTTTTCTCTCCCTCTCTCTCTCTCTCTGCTTTCAGGCCGTGGACTGTCAGTGTGTGTTAGAAACTCTCTCATCAGCACGGCCCGTCCTGCGAGCATACTCAGGCTCTGCTATCTTCTTTTAACACTACGCTTTCATGCACTATTTATGTGCACTGGGGGCGACGGTCACGGCAGCTCTGCTCAGAATCCTTACTTAGCACGACTTAGATGTGCAGATATCCTTCATAAATGGGCACCGTCACCTTTGGTCTTAGCCGCTGAAATAGCATTAAACTTCTGATTAAAAGAACAAACCAGAAAGAGACACATCACATAAAAACAGAAGTCTGGATATTTATGGAATCTGTCAGTAAATGTCCCCATCACCCTGAAAGGTCCTAATATCTTTACTCTGACCACACACACACTTTACATTTGAGCAATGAATTCAGCCCAAAAGAGTGCTGCAGTATCTGGGAGATCTACTCTTCCGTGGATTTGGGCTGCATTCAACTGAAGCTCATGGTTCTGAATTTCCCACCTCTGACTACAAAAAGCGTCCCCCTCAACTAGGAATTCCTACTCGGACCATCAGGATGGCGTTCTCAACTCCATCCTCAGCTTATGACGTCAAATCAACATGGCTGCTCATACTGTCGACAGTAATAAAGAAACCTCATCTTTTAAATTATATCTACTTTAGATCAGTCAACATTCAGACATATGAATTACTTAAATCTATAACACTATAATGACCATAATGTTCACTGTTAAGAAGGTAAATACATTAAAGGTATCACTCACATCACTAACATTAGTTGGCTAACTTGTTGCTAACAATACTGCCTTTCATTGAATTTTTCCTACTTTGTAGTTCAAACACGCAGATGTTGAAAATGACGCAATTCCAAGCTCTGACTTCTCAACTCTGAGCCAAGTCGAACGGCATTAGTTACAACCTGCATCTTAAATGTCGCCCCTGTCTTACCCAACACTATTACAACTGCTGGAGCAGGTATGACAGAATATGGTTTGAACAAGACTCTGCAGGAAGGTAGATCTCCAGGACCAAGGCTGGTGACCACTGCTTTAAAGCAATCTTGTCCAAGTATGAGGGATGGGAGAAAAATGATCTCAGGGCCGTTTTAACAACTGAACATGAAATCCAGTATAATTCAGTCAAATTGGCATTATATCTCCTTTTCACATTTGCTTAGTACACATCAGACACAACAGATAAAAACAGTTATTAAAAGAGACATGCGCTTAAATAAAGTAGTTCTCAGCTTTAATATCTTTGCTGAAGACCTGTACTTGCTCCTTGGATGTTACGACCAACACGATGTGGTTAACATTTGCTTGAAAATTTAGTTATCACACTCAAATTTAACACCACAAACATTAAATCAGTTCCTATACTGAAAGAGAACTGTATGTTCAGTAGTGGGCATATACCTGTAGGTAGGCCTGCTGGCAGCGCTGCACGAGCTGGTGGAAGGCAGGAGTGCGGAGGTGAGCATGTATGTGTGCAGGATTCAGCCTCTGCAGAGCCTCCATTATGATCTCCTGCAGGACGAACGGACTCAGCACACCTTTAGCAGCCCCCACACAGAACTGATACACATAATTCACGCCTAGAGACAGGAAGAGAGCAAAAGTAGGAATGAACATGATGCAGCATTTCAAAAGGCTCACGCTTCTCCCCATTTAAAGGTACTATAGAATGTAAAACTGTATTTACATTTGCATAGTTGAACAGAGAGTTCAGTACATGGAATTGACATACCGTGAACCTCAAACACTGCTGTCTCCTGAAAATTCTACATTTGCAAAAGAGAGTGGTAAAACAGGCCAATTCCAAAATCCTAAACTGTTACATAATAGCCTTATTAATATTTATGCCCTCAAAATTTACATTCCACGTTCTAGCCCAGCAGGTATTGCGAAGAACAAAACAACGACAATGATGCAACAGCAATAAAAATGGCACACTATGTGCAGAAATGTTGCAGGTTGTGAGGGGGATTTCAGCACTTTCATACCCTTCCCAAGAAACCAATCTATCACTGGGTTCATCTTTAAATGAGGCTTAAGTTGGCTTCCTATTCACCAGCTTCTTAAATGTTCCGTTCCACCTTAAATGCTACAGCTTGTACAGGCACCAGAATGCAAGTGTGGCACCATTTATGGTGGAACAGAAAATTCACAAAACAAGCTCGCGAACAAAAAGCCAACTTCAGTTCTCTTTAACAAGATCCTGGACAAGTTTAATTCAGAGTTGTTAGTTTGCTCTGCATATTTCACTCCGGACAGTTTCTCAAACCTTGGTCAATATTGAGCAAGCTTCGTTCAGCGCTCTTTTCCACTGAAAAGAAGGGAAGTTCCAGCTTTATTAGCATCACAACCTCAACCACAACCTGTCAGTAGCTAACCATGTAGTGTGATAAGATCTACTTTTTGATATTTGAAGCCAGATTATCTTAAATTGCATAGTGCGCTAACAACTTCTATTTGCTTTGTAGTGTTGTCGATGTCAAAAGGAAGGAGGTAGTATAAGTAAGGTTAGCTACCAACAAGCTTCAAGTAACTAGCATAACTAACTAAATAGAATAAGGACCTAGCTTTTTTATATGAGGGTTAATTTTATTTTCCTGCCTGTGTCTATTTCGACATGCTGCTTCTGTGCAAGCCATTGCGGTACCTCACTGTAAACCAGCAATCGGAGCAAAGCTAATCAAATTATTCATGAGCACACCATAAAAGGGAAAATAATTTGCTTTATTCTAGGGCCAAATTATATGGTTGTAAAAGGGCATGTAAAACCGCATCTGGACAATTTTTGCCCTGATCAAAGTCACATACCTTCAATGTAGACATCAAAGAAACAATTTAAAATGCTGAATAAATGCATTCTATGACATCTATAACACCCAACAAAAACCCTTTTTATAATTGATAAGTGCTCTGAACCAAATATCTAAAGCAATTGATCTTTTGCTGCTAGACAAAATACACACCATGTTGTTTGTATCACTCTCCATCATTTGCATTTCATATGAGAACAAAACAAACCAGTCTGATGTTGACTGGCAGAAGAAAGCGTTTAGTTTTTAACTTTTGACTGCAGAGAAACTAGCACTTTTTGGGGAAAATACTCTGTTGTGATAGCACATGCATACCCACTGCTACCAATAACTATGTAAGGAGTTTTTTCTGACTCCTTTTGCATGATTCTGTACCCTCCTCACCTCCCAGCTGGAGGCACTACATTATGCCGATACATATTTTACATCCATTCCTCTCTTTTTCATTAGAGAGAGAAAAGGCAAGCCACTTGAGCTAAGCAGTTTTTTTAGCTGTGTGAATGCTGTGTGCAACAGATGAAAGGAGTTACCAAGTCGTGCAGCAAGTCCAAGCAGCCATTTAACATCCTCTGTGTATGGAGGGCTCCGGGAAAAGTTATTGGGATGGTCATTGTGAGCCCTCCTGCCTAACATCTCCAGAGCCAGCATGCCTGTATGAGGACAGAAACTATTAAATCATTTGTAACAGCAATTCTCCAACTGCCTTTTAATCCTGCACTTAAGACTATTAAGCCTTCTAATACAGTGAACTTTGCCATAGGATGGTAATAAAGCAGCTGTCATGCACAAATGTAATATTTCTGAGTTAAATGCCTGTGTCACTGCCACAACATGGACTCAGCCAACCTCCAATTTGCGGCTCTTAATATTCAGCACATAATTCAGCACCAGATGGACTCTAATGGGGCCAAACAGTGACACAACCACAGGAGGGTCATGCCTTAAGGGCTATCAGTGATTAACAATCAGCATTCCTTACCAACTCTGTAGGCTGAATGCAGGTAGTGCAGACCCTGCTGGCTGATTGGCTGACTGTGCTGCTCATCTTCCACAGGGAATGGCGTGCTGACCAACGAGGCTGGCTGAGAGGAAAGGCCTGGAAGAGAGGCCCCCTGAATCGCCTGGATGGCGGAGCCAGAGTGAACCCCACCTACTGAAGAGAAACAGACAGATGGCCTCAGAGAATTACTGCACACTAGAATGTACAATGGGAAATTAATTATTAAGAAACAAAGAAAATGGCCTTGCTTCAACTACTAGCATTCAGAGGTAAATCCATGAATTTTCTTCACTGCAATTAAATCTCCCAAATTATCCACACAGATTGATTATCAAATTGCACCCTTTTTGGTTAATGATGACATTTTAGAAAACAATACATGCAATCTGCAAATCCCCTCTGATATCACTGACTACTAAACAGCAGAAGAAGGAGCACCTATCCAAGGTGCCTCATTTACTGCTTTAATGGTTTTATGGTCTCAGTTTTGAAAAACAGCAAGGCTCTAAATCTAAGGAAGGAAGCATGCTATAAAGTGTGCTAATGAGTTTTATGGGGGACATTTTTTTCAATTCGTTTCAGACTGAAGTGCTACTAGACCCACTGGAGGTGAATGTAAACAGAAGAGCTACTAATATCTGCCTGTCTATAATAGGAAAATAAACTCCACTCTGTCCTGTTGTGTGGACCTTAAGTCCTCATTTGCATGCACCAATTTTAGACGTTCTCTATCTACATTTCTATCTATCCATTCATCCATGAATTCATTAATCCAAACAAACAAACACCAAAACTGTTCATATAGACAGAAAAGCCTTGAGACTGTCAAATACAAAAAAAAAATCTTCATTCAATCGAACTCTGCATCAGCTTTGCTCTCTCTTTTTCTTCACCTGCCACAGTTGTGCTGAGGGGCAAGGTTGCATCTGCAGTATGGTAGGGGTGGACGGCAATCTGTGTCATGGACGGTACAGGAACTCCTGGGAAGGTGACTGCAGTTGCTGCCATGGGGGGATGAGGGCCAGAGGCCACAGAGAATGGGTATTGGGCACCAATAAACGCAGGGTGCATTCCCTGAGAGAGCACAGAGACACTCTTACAATTACAGAAATAGAACCCATTACCTTAAGATGAGAAAAATCCAGTTATTTGGCTCTGAGACATGGTCACATTTAATTCATAAGCATGTGTCAAGCTATCTTTTAGGTTCATTCTCATAAATCAGTGGGCTAAATTAAGAAAGCATCTTTCGCACAATTAAAATCAAAACAGTTTCAAAAACAACAGGTCAAGTCTAAGAGTAAAATAACAAAGCGTTCTTACTTGTGGATAGGTAGAACCAGAAACAGGAAAAACAGCGGGGCGAGGAACGTGCGGGAGCTGGTGGCCCAGGTATTGTGGGGTGCAGACAGTGGGTAAATGGGCCTGAATGGTTGTGTAGGGGTGTAGTCCCTGCGTGTGAGCCATTGCTGAGCCAGGAAGCGTGTGGGACTGGTATATGGTAGAGCCCACGGAGATGACAGGCACCACAGCAGCAGCAGTCACAGACGCCGTCACTGCTGCTACACCTGACGAGTCCATGGCCCCAGCGCTGTCTAGCACACCACAGCCCCCCTCTGGAGGCCTCCGCCCTGCCCCACCGTTGGCCCCACATCGGCTTGGCCCCTCTCTCTGTCCAGCGGAGCCTCCACCTACAGTCTGCTCATACAGCCAGTACCACTGATGGGCCACCTCAAACAGCACCTCAGGATATACTCCTCCACCTTTCGCGGCTTCTTCTACTGCCATACAGGCCTTTTCCAGCATCACGTTATCCTGGGGAGAGAGAGGACAATTTGCCTTGCTGTTATATTGCCCTAAAAATGTTACAATAAGGCATTAGGTGTTAGGGCTGCATGATATTAAAGAACATTGGATTGTGGATATACTGCTAGATAACGCAACTGTGATATGCTAGGCATATATACACAGACTGTCCTGCATGATTTTGATTATGTAACTGGATCAATACCTTAATTCATCCAAGTACCCAAAAAATAACAGCACATAACTTTTTTTGGTTTCAAATGTTATGAAAGAGGAGGTGATGGCCAGATTGTACAGATCAATGAGGAAGAAGTACAAACCTCAGAAAGTACTGGTTTGACACAGTTAACAGCTAGGAATAAAAAGAGAGCTGCGGTTGCAGCGTTATTGTACCAAGTTGGCTAATCAAAGATGTCAGCTACTACCAATAACCAACAAATAAGTTTAAATCTTTGGTTGCACAGCTTTGTTGGGTGAGACTGCTTTTGCAATATCAGTAAACTGCTAGAGTTTGAACTAGAGTTGTAAACGTTCATGTTTAGCTGTATGACAGTTAATCTTTCTTTTGATAGTTAATCTGATAATTCATCAAGATTTTTAAAGCTAGAAAAATCTGATGAACATTGCTCTCTGCAAAGTGACAGCCGAAAACATCAGCAATTACTCTAAAATTAGGACCCTGTACCTTTCAGATTGACTGGTACCAGTTTGATCTTAATGTGTGCTTGGTCAAATTTTTGTAAAATCCCAGGTATGGCTGTTTTTGTCTGGAGTTGTGGAACTGAGGAACACAGCAAAACCCTTAAAGCTGGACTGCACCGTTTGATTTGGCTTGACCAAAAACAAGATTACCTGCTAACAGAAACCAACAGAAGCGAGAACCCGGATACGTGAAAGGGCCTATATGCCTATAACTTGCCATTAGGCTTACATAGGTTAACTTTAGTCTACCACACACTCTGTGACAATGGACATAAAGAATCAAACGCACAAATTAAGCTAACAAGAGCTTGTTTCATACCAAAAGTCTGGCACGGCAGCAAAGCTGAACACAAGAGACCATTGCCACAGGGGTATTTTATGCATGCTTTAAGTGGCTTGCATCTCATGGCAAACATTAAGCTTTGAGCATGGCTACCACACTTCCCTTCCGTCAACATGTGCCCCACAGTCAATGCGGAGAGCTTGCTGCACGCAACTAGTCTGGTGCAGAAGTGTTGTGGTTACTGCTTCTTATCTAACATGCGCTTCACTTAGCTGTGCTCTTATGGAAAACAAAATGCCTAGTTATTCCAGTGATATGCCTAACACCACCATCGGCATCATGCTACCATCGCCATGTTATGGTGATCCTTGCAGTCCTACTATAGTCTGCAGAATCAGCGCTGATCTTGAATTAATTCACATTGAGTAAAAGACAGACATTTTCAGTGTGCAAAATACCACCCGGTATTCGGGGGGTCCCATGTTGGCTGGCTGCTAACTCATTCACCATAGCGGCACTGATGCTAGTTTCAGTGGCAACAAATGTTTAGTTCAATAATTCGTCTTCTGGAAATGCTCTTTTCAAGTTAATGTGAGATCGTACACATCTCCTCTTTTGTTTTCAGTTTGCGAAAACAATTCACTCTTTCAACAAACTTCTTCAGAAATTGGGCAAATTTTCAGATTTACAAATATGTTATGGCATATTGTAAAGTTTTTCAACTCAGCTACGAAAGACTAAATGGTTAAACCATCCTGAGGCAGACCAGTGTTGCATCACCAGTTAAGAATGCCAGACAGAAGCTTGTCGTTTTGTGAGTGAAGCAGCTAAACAACGGCCTTCCCCTAAATTTGTATTTGAGCATCTGTTGTTCCCTAAGGGACAGCATAAAGTCATACGTTTATTTTCAGGGACCTTCCAGAATTTTGATTTCAGACATTCAGAGGGTCCAAGAGGTTAATTAGGGGGTCCCAGGTCCTCCCGGACATCCTGTATTTCACACCTTGGACATTATGATTTTTATATGGTTTTTGTGCAGCCCTCACCCTGACTGACAAACAATATATAATGCAGAGGGGATGTATCTCCCAAAATCAACTTTGAATCTTTTTAATATGGAACATTTTGAATGTATAAATGAATTTATAGAACATAAGAATATAGAACATATTTTTATTTTATAGAATATAGAATACATTTCTTACACCAAGGAATAATAGTTCGTTCGCTGATGTCTCTGTGAGACCTGTTAACATGTTCCTTGAGAAGGATGCTGCGACATGAGATAAGGACTTGTTTATGCCCAACTCCAATCTATCCCTTCCAACAGGGTGACTGCCTACAATACAGGAGCTGGGACTGGGTTTTTCCATCATCGTATAACTGGATGAAAGGTGACCACTCGGGAACCTTCAAGACCTTTGGCCTGACTGGAAGCAACTCTTGCCGGCATCATTAAAGCAGCGCACGATGGACTGTATTATTGACTGAATCCCACCAATGACACTGTGTTTAGTTGGGTTTCTGAACCAATTTAGGTCTGCATTATAATAGTTTTGATTTGTAATGATCAGCAATTGTATATGTAGATTGTAAATTTTACATATAATTTGCATAAAGTTATAAGTGCTTTGACCCAAGTCTGTCTTAGATGGGGAAGACACCTGTGGGTGCTCTAACCCCCACCTCTTTCTCGAGTCTTAGCCTGCTGATTTCTTTCCTTAAGCTTTTGCACGTGTACTTATGTTTGTGTGAACGTGACAACCTATTAAGATGTCATGTTTCATGTTCCTATAATCTTTAAATATTTTTTTCTTATTAATTTTATAATCTATTCTCCTTTTAAAAAAAAATCAACATGTGGTCTTCTTTTTGGGGTAATTATGAATGTGTGTTTTTCATACATTTCTACATTCGATTTTAAATTGTGTTGTGGCAAATTGCCCAATAAGCAAAATAATTTCTGCTTGTTCACAGTACTCTGTAGATGACAGTGTTTGCTGTACCTGTTCTTTGCATTGCACTAACGCCCTCTGGATCTCATTAGGGTTGAGGGCATGAGCATGAGGTAGGCAGCTCAGCGCAAGCTCTGCTGCAGCCCGCACCATGTTGGGGTCCCGTGCCCGTGATGCCCGATCTGCCAGCGACGCCACCTCTGGAGGGGTGAGGTGACCATCCCAGCATTCTACAAGGATGTTGAGGGCAGCACTGCCAATCTCCATAGCTTGGCCTGGAAAAAAAAAAGAGACAGAAAGAAAGAAAGACAGAAAGAAGATATAATACTGACAATAATGGCAAAGCAACCAAGAAAACATAAAAGCCAAATAAGAAATCTCAGGCTTAACAAATTTTACAATATAATTGTTCAGAATATCCTTTCACTCACCTGTGATCCAGGACACGTGTGAAGAGTACGTCCTGGACAGCCAGTTGGGAGACACAAAATTGTGCAAGCCCAATGCATACAGGCCAATCTCAAAGGCACACAGGTGCAGGTTGCGATGAGGTCCCTGGTGGCCCCCGCTGGCAGAGGGCTGAGTAAAGATGGAAGTGGAGCTGTTTCCTCCAGCCTTTACCAGCACCGTCTTAGCCAGCTCAAAGTAGAAGTGAGCAGCCGCCTCTGACGGCTGATTGGGCACATGTGGAGCGTGGCATTCAGGACGACGCCCTTTATACCTGTAAAATAAGGCAGCGATGAGAAAGGAGAAATATTAAAGAATAGCCTGACTAAAAATGATAAAGTCTGCAGTAAACCTTTAAAGCACTGCTAGCATCAATACATCATCAGGAACATTAACTTTTATGGTAGAGAACTGAAATACAACCTTTGTGAATATGAGCCCTAATCATGTTTTGAAAACACATCCGAAAATGCACCCAGAATGCTTCCAGAAGCTATCTTGAGCGCACTGTTGATGCTCTGAATATTAATCTCACTATCAGACACCTTGGGCTCTGCAAGGACATCTATTTACCACAAAATGTAAATTTGGATTCAATTCAGTGTCTGGTATGTTGTGATGGCTCTTATCACTTGTCTTCCAGCAGAAAATCTGACCAGGTAGTCCATCATTCCAATAAGTCCAAATGGCTTTAGCTAGCCAGCTACACATTTAGCACTCATGGCAAATTCTTAACAATGAATGATGAGGATGATTTTTCCTTTCAGAGGTATGCCAGATTCACCCAGTAAACACTAAGAGATTCAGTGCCCTTGTTTCCAAGTTGGTGACTTCCAGTGGTGGACAAAGCACACAAATCCTGTACTTAAGCACAGACAATTAGAGACATCTAAGTAAAATATTACTGAAGTAAATGTAAAAGTCTTTATTGAAATTTCTTCTAGAGCTTTTAAAAGTACAAAACTACTGTGACTTACTACAGTTATCATGTGAAGACTAGTGGTGGGACCAGTTTACTGTAGGGTACTGTTCATAAGACTACAGGACACATACATAAGCTTGTTATGACAACTGACATAACCCCAACCTAAACGTTTATAAACGCTTATTCCAATAGGAGTCATTCACTGTAAATGTTACATTTGCCAATTTTGATCCAAGTTAGCTCATGTAGCCTTTATGATAGATGATGCCTATTGGAACAGGCATTTATCAACATTTATGTAGGGTTATGTCAGTTGTCATGACAAGCTCATGTAGGTGTCATGTAGCCTAACATGACACAGCTCTTTCCTAGCAAGTCCAACACAACACAATGGAAAAAGAGTAGACAAACACAGCAACAGTACACAGCCTTGACCTGCACAAGCAACACTACGAAGTTGCAGCTGTATAGCTATAGCTAGTTTTCTAGCTTCTATGGGTAGAACAAATCAGGTAATTAAAAAGTTCATATGATTTAATTTAAAACTGTATTGTATTCTTCTGGAATCCAGTTTTCTCCCTCTATAGCACATTCTGCAGAGAATCAATGAAAATACTTTATGTAATACAAATAAAAGTAAAAGTCTTAAAAGTGCTCATACTTTAATAAAAATACAAATACTTAAAGTATATGTACTATGTTGCTGTCCACCACTGCTAATTTCTTATATAAAAAAAATACTTGGTATGTTTACAAATGGGAAAAAGAAAGTCATTAACTGAGCTCACATGAATCCCGGATTCATTTTCTGCTTTGCTTTTCGATCACAACCTTTGTGCTAGGAAAGTTCAAAGCCTTCTTAAAGGAGGACTGAATCCACTGGAGCTTTTCTATCACCTTTTTAGTACTGCTTGTAATTCACAGCGATAAAATTTTAATCAAACTGTCCAATAAATCTAAAACTTCTATGTTAGACAATTTAGCCCAAGTCAACTCCATTATTTCTGTTTCTGTCTCACCTGCTGGTGTCCGTGCTCTTAGCTCTGGCTCCTCCTCCAGCTCTTCGTGACCCACTGGATGACGAGGAGCCCAACGAATCAGAAGACGAGCTGCTGATGCTGTCGCTGTCTTGACCCCTCGCCCAAGAGGCAGCTGTCCAACCACCTCGCAGCGGGCGACGGCTGAGCGTGGGGGAGCTATCTGAGGTTGTCTCGGGAGCACTACTATCAATGCTTGCCATGCCTGAGAGAGAACAAGTTAGAAACGGTCAAATAAGGGACACTTTTCGTGACATTTAGGAAATATACTAAAAGGACTAGCAGGACTATAATGCAGACGACAGATACTTTTCTAAACTCTGTGGTCAATGTTAATGAGATTTCATGCATCCACTGTAGAGGGGTTAAAGTAACATTAACTACAGGTGTAGAACAATGGTGCTGCATATCAGTACATCTTCTTACCTGTGTGCTTCTTCTTCTGCCGTACAGGTGAGCCCCAGCAGCGTGTTCCATAGGCTCCACGCCCACCGAGCGCCAGGCGGCTGGGCACTGTACCCTCAGGCTTAAAGGGGGCAACCTCATTCTGCTGATCACATGAGGATGACTGAGCTCCATCTGCCATAAACACACACAAACACAGGGGTTAGAAACAGTGGCACCACATAGTCACTATAAAAAGTAAAGTTGAGGAAACCTCAACTGTAAATGAACTGCTACTGGCCGGTACATTCAACGACCCATATACAGCAAGGTTAGATTCTTTTTATTGAATCTAATCTTACTGTATATCAGTCTTTGAATTAACTGCAAATGAACTGCTACTGGCCAATACATTCCAAGACCCATATACAGTAAGGTTGCATTAATTCATAAGAAATTAATGATACACATCATACATGGTTTACAATTTGATATGACATAAATGGATAAAACTGGAATGAACAAATGACTGCATCCATGTTATTAAACGACCTATTAGTGAGACTAGAGCTGGAAGCCTGGAGCTGGGACTGTGACTAATGATGCTAAACATGCTGGTGTTGATTAAGAAGATAGTGACTTTTATTATTATGCAATGCAATTGCATTAGGTGGTATAATTACTAGTGGTGGGAAAAATAACTGATCCTTAGATGCGTTGTGATTCTCTCTTCAAAGATCCTGAATCACTTTCTGAATTCACACGTCATAATCAGATTTTTATGAAAGCTTTTTGTTTATAATGAAGTAGGACACTTTAGAGTAGCCCAGCCTCAATGAGGAAAAAAAATGTAGGATCTCACTAACGCACTATTTTATTACCATGAAGTGGAGCAGCAACAGCTGAGCAACAAAGCGGCAGACCACGCAAACGTAGCGCATAAAGTCAGCAAAATCGGCACAACAGAAGTGCATCGGGAGCTTCATAAAATGGGTTTCCATGGCTGAACAGTTGCACACAAGCCTAAGATCACTATGCACAATGCCAATCGTTGGCTGGAGTGGGGTAAAACACGCCGCCACCGGACTCTGGAGCAGTGGAAACATGTACTTTGAATTGAGCTTTACTATCTGGCTGTCTGATGGACAAATGTGAGATTGGCAGATGCCAAAAGAACGCTACCTACCCAAATGCATAGCGCCAACATTAGAGTTTGGTGGAGGGGGGATAATGGTCTGGGGGTGTTTGTCTGGGTTTGGGCTCAGCCTCTTCATTCCAGTGAAAAGTAATGTTAATGCTACAGCATACAAGGATATTGTGGACAATTATAGGCTTCCAACTTTTACGCAACAGTTTGGGAAAGCTCCTTTCCTGTTCCAGCATGACTCTGTGCACAAACCAAGGTCCGTAATAGAGGTCTGCATCCCTACCAGACCCAACACAATATTTTGAGGAATGGGGCTAATTTTCAGTGTAATTTAACCAGCCCAGTGCGGGTGGGAGCAAGACAACACATGCATGTAGAGAAGTCCCGCAAATTAATGACTAGCTAAAATAAAATAAATAACTATCACTTAATAAATGGCTTATATAAATAATATCTAACAGCAAAATAATGCAAAGGTGTTACACTAATTCTAAACAGAATTTCTAACCTAGTTCTAAATAGAACCAACCACATAAACAATCACATAAATCACTTGTTTGTAGGCTACAGAAACTGCAAACCCAGTGGCCTGTACAGAGCCCTGACCTCAACCTCAACGCCTTTGGTCTAAACTGGAACGTTGATTCTGAGCCAGGCCTTTTCATCCTTCATGAGATTCCCCTCAGACAAACTCAAAAATCTTGTGGAAAGCCCTCCCACAAGAGTGGAGGCTGATATAGCCACAAGGACAGGTGGTGGTGAAGGGGAACTCAAAATTGAAAAATTATAGATGCATTAAGAATCATTTTAAAATGCATCTTAACACCCTGAATCAAAATCTAATCGAGAAGTGCCTAGAGATTCCCACGATGTACTGTGTCACAAGCATTGTTAAACCCATATTAATTGACACAGATCTACTTCACTGTGGTCCAGTCCTCACATTATTGCCAGTTATACAGGCTTATCCTGATCTTTAACAGTGTGGGTTTTGGCTCACCTTGTTCTCGGTTCTCGCCAACTGCTTCTCCTGTCGCTGTGCTCTGGACACCACTACCTGTCAGCCCACCTTGCTGTCCAGTCGCCCCTCCGCTGGCTACGCCCTGCACAGAGGCTGAACCTCCTGTTCCTGTGGGTGCTGCGTGTTTGGACACACCCCCTGCAGCTCCACCAGTCCCATGGGTGGTGTGTTTGGATGGGCTCTTCTGGCTCCCAGTGGCTGGCTTACTGGAGTAGAATGAGCTCAGAGTCTGAGGCTTATGAGTCTGACTCTCACGGTCCAGAAGCTTGTCTAAAATCTGCAGACATTGGAGTTCAAAGCTGTTAACATATACACACACACACACATATATATATATATATTTACACACACACACACACACACACAACAGTATAAACATATTAGAAATTAGAGAAGCCCGCTGTAAAACACCATGACTCAGCTCCAGAAATTCTTGCTCCAAGAAATGCTCCTATGATCACAAGCAATAACCAAATAACTGAGCAGAACAAGGATGCGGCCAGCTTAGAAAAGCCCCTTAGGTCTGTTTGTCTCATCCTCCAATAGAATGTTTGAAGGCTTGTGTCTTAGACCGTAGTTTAAATTTGTAACGTTTAGCACATAAAAAAATTATGGGGATTGCAATATGGAAGCTAGCAGTTGTCACAGATTAGATGACATGCCTTTTTCAGCTTGCTCTGGTCATCCTTGTAGGTAATCATGAGGGCCAAAGCAAGGTCTCCCTTTTCCCTCCTAGTGCCCTCACACAGCAAAGGATGTTCCGCCTCACTAACTGTAGTCTTCATACCTGAGAGGAAAATATAAAGACTTATTTTAGGTCATTATTGATTTAATTCTTCGCTGCACATGTTTTCGGAGACACACAAGACTGCTAACCCACTCTTACCCATTCTTACCTAGTGCAGCAACTGCAGCCTCAAAGCCCAGCTCTTCATCACCTGGCATCTCATTGTTACGGTTTCGACTGGGTGGGCGAGAACCCGTCGGAGAGACCACTATTACAAAATAGACACGAAAAGAGATGGAAAAATGTTCAGAACAATCAGGCTCATGGATTTCCTACAGCTAAAATGCTATGAATCTAAAAACTTTAAAAGCACTCATTTACTGTCTGTGCACTGCATCATCAGCAGATAGTAAATTCAGTAGTACTTTTTATGTTCATGCTTGACGTTCAAAGTAACGTGTGGAACTGCACAAACAATAAGTTGGGATGTAATTCTTGTCTGTAAAAAGCAAACCAGTGATAATGAGCCCCTCCCCAAAGTGAGCCCAGAATCGGTCCTGGCTGCAGACTGAACTATTCAGGATAAGTGTGAAAACACCCTAAAACATTCTTTAAGTGTAGAGAACGAGTACTCTATGAAGCACTGGTTCATTAACTTTATTAATGACATTTAAATGTCATCTGACACTTGTGATACCATGATTCATTTGGAAAATACTGTGATACTATGAGTTTTTCAATACTTGTCCAGCACTACTTTAGAGTGTGAAAGGCCAAACGCTAATGCCTAAATCTGATCAGTTACTTTCAAAACAGATAAAAGTCATGTGGCTTCAGATGAAGCTTCAAGACAATTTTGCAGACACCATTGCCCTAAACATGTAGTATCATATTACACAGAATTTCATATTTCTGAGACTCACCAGGGGTGCACAAAACATCAAATATAAAACTGGCCAGCATGAGAGGCAGAACTGGCCGGTAATCACAGAAGTTTCCATCACGCAGCTGCTCAGCTCTGTCTCTTATGGCGGTCATCTCCACCAGCCCAAGAGGAATCTTCTTTAGCAAAGCAACTACTTCTGACTCCTGATATGCCAGCTTCACCTAAAAACAGAGAACACCATGCAAACGTATACAGAATAAACAAAGTGTTTTGCTTGCATGTCCATCCTAGATCATTAGTTTAATTACGGGACTTTTTGTATCTGGCTGAGTGTCTGGTAACCAGGCGGAAGTACTCAAAGGCAAAAGCTGTGCTGAGGCTAAAATGGCAAATATAAATAAAGTAAAAGGTTAGTCTGGAGTTAGAAGAGTGATGTGTACCTCCAGGGCCTTGGTGGAGGCTGGAGGCCTCTGGAGCTCCAGGGAGAACATGCCAGTACTGAAGGCCAGATTATGGAACTCGAGCCTCTCGCTCAGGACTGTCAGCAGGAAGGCTGCTTTAGACAGGGTGTTGGTAGCCACTTGTGTCTGCTTGCTGGTCGACACCTTACTCTTCTTACCCTAATAAAGAAGAAAAATGATTCACAGGTTTAAAACAATAACAGACAAAGCTTTTAAGACAGGACATGAGCCCAAAACACAATGGTTTAAGTCTCTCTACACTGAATTTTATTTAATGCTTACTTGCTGTGTTTATTCATAATAGACTGGTCACTGTGCTATGGCTTCAAGAGTGTCCATATCACCGCAACATTTTAATTTAAACCTTGATTAAAAAAATGACAAGTGTGTCAAGCCAATGTGTGCGTTACCTTCGTCTGTGGCTGCTCAACCTTGAGGTCAGGAGGGTTGGCCAGGAGATCCCTTGCTAGCTCCACAGCCAGACGACATGCTTCATTACTGTACCCATGAGCATACAGGGCCTCTGCACATGCAAACAGCACCTGCACACAGTGGGGGGTGTTTACATAATGAACACATGTAATTATGTGCAGCCTGAAATAAAGTGCATAATTAAAAGGAAATAAAGCTGGGTACAACCTCAGCTCTAACAAAATCTCCTTACCTCCATTCGCCCTTCTTGCTCCAGAGGTTTGATCCCAGCAAATATGTCCGGTTCCTCCTCATGGTTGCTGTCTGGTACTCCTCTCTCTGCCCCCTCCTCAGAAGCAGCACTGAGATAATAGGCCTGGTAAAAGAAGAGCAAAATTTTGAATGATGTGCTTTGAAACTTCTACTTTTGAAAGAGATAGGACCATGGGTTTGACATATAGTATGTATATGGATAGATATAAATATATGGATACTAGGTTACATTTCTATGGGATGCTTATCATCTAGCATTGCCTACAATAAAAGAGAGTTGGATATTAGTTATATTACCTACTTCATTAAGTACATTTTCATTGTATCTACATTCCATAACCTTTTTTAAGATAGAGATATATATATATATATATATATATATATATATATATATATATACACACACACACACACACACACACACATATAAATATGAATACACTTTTATGGGGCGTAGAGCAGACAAAATAGACAGAGTGTAGACAGAAGGAGGTGCACTTAATGAAGTGGCTGGTAGGTGTATATGAAGAGTTGTGTTTGTCTAGGGTAGTGGTTCACACAACATCTTTAAAACTTCCCTTTTCTAGCTAAGACTAGAAAAATTAACTGAATCAAGACTTTAAAAATCAAAAGGCAAGTATACAAATTCTGATTCATCTGTCCCTTACCTGATAGTCATCCTCACCAACTGGGTCCCCACCAGCCGCAGCTGCCGCTGCTGCTTCTGGGCCTTGTGGGCCAGGAGTCCCTGCCGTGCTGCTACCTTCACCTTCTCTCCGGCCTCGAGGAGGCTTGACTGTGACAGGGACTGCCATAGCTGCTGACGGAGAGGGCCTAACGTCCTCTACTGGATCCTCATCTGCTCCGTTTTCCTCAAGTTCTGCTTCCACATCCACTTCTTTCTCTACTGCTACTACCATGGGGCTCTCTTTAGAGAAGCAGTGAGGTCCATCTGCTGCCAGTGGTATTGCTGAGTGGGTGACACGTTTACCCTCAAATGTGCGGTCCTTGGCAATACTGCTGCTACTGCTACTATACTTGCGCGGTTCTCGGAGCAGAGGGCTAGGTGAGGGCAGCATCTCCGGCGGTGGTGGCAGAAAGTCAAACGTGTTACTTGCTTCTGCTCCCAAAGCCAGGCTTGAGCCATCGTCCAGGCTCAGCTCGGCCATATCAGGCTCCAGAGAGCTGTCCTCACTACTGGTGCGCCGCTTAGCACTGGGGTGCTTCCCTCCAACAGCACCAGAGCCTCCACAGGAGCTCTTACTGCTCTGGGTCAGTTTGGCTTTGCTGCTAGCTGAAGAAGAGGAACCACCAGCTTTGTATGTGCCCTTTGTACCTTCATCTAAAGACAAGGACATTCCACCACCTAACCGCACCAACATTCCTCCACTGTTGACTCCTGACATGCCTTTCCTCTTGCTCACAATGGTTTCCTTGGGCCGCACAGCCACTTCCTGCTGAGGTGTGTGAGAGCTGCTACGTGATCTGTGTTCAGAAGCTCCTACTTCAGTTCCCCCACCACGCCCACCTCCTCCTGCTCCTCCAGGCTCTAAAGGTTCCCCACTCGTCCCTACCTTGGCCCCCCTCTGCTGCTGCACTGCCCTGGCCCAACAGAAAGAGGCACTCTTCTTATCCGTGCTGCAATAGGTAATGCCTGGCAGGGGGTAAGCCACTTCCCAGTTGAAGTAGCAGGACTCGACAGCTGGTTTAAAACCCTGGAAGAGCTTGTCCAGGGACTTGCGGTGCTGTCCACGCTTCACAATCTCAATCACCTTGAGGTGCCACTGCTTGAGCTGGGCAGCAAGCTCCAAACGCCTATGTGAAGGGGGGGGTTACAGAAAACTAAATTTATGTTTCTGCATCAGAGTAAGAACATAAGAACAATAAGAAAATTTGCAATATATTTTGAGTGCCACCTCAAAATAATTGTCACCATAAACATGCGCAGTTATTTTAAGGAATTTTATGGTGACTGATTATTAACTGCAATCGTATTTTATACACTTCCATACCTCTCACATGAACATGTAAAGGAATGCCAGAGAAGTGTCTGTACTCTTACAGTGGACACAAAAAAAAAAATCTCATTTGTATAGAAAAAACGCTCATTTGTGCGTACTTCATTGTGATTTATCACAGTAGTTCTCAAACCTGTCCTCAAATACCCCAAGACAGTTCACATTTTTGTTCCATCCCAACTCCCAACACATAAGAATAGAGCAAAAATGTGGAACGTGTGGGGGTCCCTGAGGACTGGTTTGAGAATTACTGTGCTAAATCACAAAGAAGCATGTACAAATGAGCGTTTTTTCTTGTCCACTCTGAGAGCACAGACACTACTACTTAGCAAGCACAGTGGTAAACTGAATGCATTACCAGCACTGTTTGTGAAATCACAGAGAGGTCGAAATCATGGTTTCAATGAACAATCATTTATGTGACAGAAGGCTCAGGTGTCAGAGAGCTGAGATCATTTTAGACGTTGCAATTTGATTTTTGACAGTATCTCATCTCTTGTGAATTGAAGCACCTTCTTAACCCGACCATTTAACTGAAGCACAAAACTGACCCAGTTACCTTTTTGATAAACGGGAGATAGAAAGAAATATATAAAAAACTTAGAATGATGAAGGGAAAGGGAGGTGTAGGTTTACTGATAAACCTGGAGACACCTCACCTCTGGGGGCTCATGGTGGGGTCAAGCACCGCCAGCCTCCACAGCACCACCATCTCATCACACATGCTGGCACAAGCATGAGCTGCCACCTCCGTCTGCCCATTACTGCGGCCTGTGTGCCCACTGGCACTGCTGTGGGATGCAGACGTTCGTACACTGTACCACCAACCAATGATCTGGAGAGGGAGAGAGAGGGAGAGACAGTAAGAGACCGAGATAAAGAGAGTAAAAAAGGCAGAAACAGAGATAGAAATAGAAAATAAGAGAGAGAGAGAGAGAGAGAGAGAGAGAGAGAGAGAGAGAGAGAGAGAGAGAGAGAGAGAGAAAGAAAATGTGTTGTAATATATCATCAGGACTTGAAAGTACTGTCAATTCCATGCTTAGTCTGTGGATAACTGGCTTTTCTAGTGATGCACTGATGCCATGTTAACAGCCGATATCTTATCCTGAATACCAATTTTCTTCTTTTAGTCTGTGATGGTAGTATACAGTCCTCTGCAACTGGATACCTTGTGTCATCCTTGTCCACTCAGTGACCTTGTCTAATGCCTGCTCTCAAGCTACTGATAATGCAATGAATTTTATACATTTACAAAACATAAAAACTTGATTTTTCTGTAAAACAAAGAGCCATGTTACTACAGAGTGTGAAGCTGGTATCAGCACATCTTTAGTGCTTTTCTACCAAACAATAAACTCCCTTAATGCCATACAGGAGTTGAAACAAATAAGCATTTCTTCCGTACTTGTTCATATGTGAGGCACTGCTCAGTGAGGATCTCTAACAGTGGGGCAGCATTGCTGTCTCTCCTCTTGAACATTTCCCTGACGATGGATAGAAGGTTCCAGATGCCCTCTGGCTCTCTGCCCCTAAGGGGCCTCAGTAAGCAGGCCCATTCAGCTGCAGCGGGGGGCTCCGTTGAGGACAGATACATGGAGTTCACATCACTGGAAATGAAAAGAGAACAAGTTTAGCAGGATGATAGTACAGCTCTACAATGATTTATGAATAAATACAGTGACACACACATACTGGGGAGACTGGTGATTAATGCATAAGAAGCCTTCAAAATCCTGAGAAGTGATCGCATCCACTGTTTTTGTATTTGATTAACCCTCCATTCACTAAGGGAAATATGAGCTGTAGTTTACAGCTAAATCAAAGCGCAAGAGGCTTAATGAGAAGATGGCCAAAAAGACCTACTATACAGTAGCAATAGGCTACAAACTTCAAACTCACAGACACAGGCAGTAAGATGAAGCAGGACAAACGTTCACGTTACCGATAACATCACAACTTTTTTTCTGTGGCCACATTGGATAAACAACTCAAGTTCTCAATGTGGCAAAAAAGGTCCCTTACCTTTCACAGTTTTATTGTACATACCTGAACACTACAGGTGAAGGGCCACAAAACTTGTGCAGTGTCTTCTTAATGTTGTCACTGAGGGTAGACTCATCCAGGTACCAGGTGCTCTGGTCAGAGGCCGAAGGTCCAGCTGTAGGGTCTGTAAAACAGTAATTAAATGAGTTTCTAGCCATCTTACATGGCTTATACACTACTACACATGCTACAGTGTGTAGTGAGAAATATTTGTCCTACTAGTATTTAGGTTTCCACAAAGCCATCATAGCAACACATCTGTAATTATGCAGTGTTAAATAAAAAACATATTTCAGATGTAGGACTAGGCATGCAAGAAAAAGTTCACTCATATCTGAAGCACTGTTCCAGCCTACACAAATGAAAGTGCATGACTTACGGTAAATGGTCGCAACAAATAATGCTGACCTTTTTGAAATTTAAACATTTTAAGCTTCTGCAACAGCTGTCTTGTAATCAAGTTGAGTGCTGTTTGCAGTGCTACCGCTAGCAATACAAACATCACTACTCACTGTGCCAGTTAGCACTACTCAGCAAAATACAACAATTTCTAAATGTTAAACAGTGCTAACTAGGAAAGCTGAGTAGTGCTGTTTATATTGCTAGCTAGCCAGCATCATGGAGTTATGAAGTGTTGATGCTGGTTACCTACAATGATTACCTACAATGTTAGTTACTTTGAATTAAACATATTGCCATATCTACAGCTAGAAATGTAAATGTAAAATAAATGCTGTTTACTGCTGTTTTTGTGGAGTGTAGTACACCTGAGCTGAATTGCCTACAACAAAAAAAGCTCTCCTTGTCAAAGCTCTAGTGAACAGTTTGTACATGACCGACGGAGCAAGCAGTCTGGCCTATTTTAACATAGCAGGCATTAGATGCTACTCTATTAATTAGATCTTCATTCCAAGTACAAGTAATTTTGGGGGTGACTTTCAGTGATGCCTTTGCATGTTCACACATGCTTATTCATTGGCATTTTATACTCCAGCAACCCCTAAGAAACAATTAATTCTGAGTGGGTATTTGGCTTTAAAAACAGCGTGAAGCCTCAATTAGGAATTCCTGTTACTTATAAGCCAGAATAATAACGCCCAACACCACACAATATATTAATTTACCATTGTCTTTGGTACTCTTTTGTGGAGCACTACCAACAGTTCTCCTCAAAGATACTGATATCTAAAGCAGAGCACCAATCACAACAATGAAAGAGGTGACCGTACCTGGCGCTCCACATACTGTGTTAATAGCGGTTGACTGTGACGAAAGAAGCTCATCCAAGAGACGCTGGGCTGTGGGCAAGATCTGGCAGCACACAACAAAGTTTTAGATGTACATTCGCTCAGCTTGTTATTAAGCTGTAGACAGTGTTTACAAGGTGAACATTAGGTATTTAGCTTTTTCCACATTGAACACCAATTCCAAGTACTAAACTAGATGATGCACCGTATAGTGTATAGTATTCCTGTTACTCTAAAATGACTGTACTTAAGCTAGTCAATATCAACATATATGAAAAATCCATTCGCAAAGTCACAATGTTGCCATCATTACAAAACCTCTGAAATGATAACTTTAGAACCAAAATAAACGTTCTTTAAAATGAAAACCAGCTACTGGTATTTTCAAATAGCACAAAAAAAAGTTGTGATGCTCTTTTTGTCAGCAACAATAAGATGTTTAATCTGTATTATAAGAAGAGAACCTGAATGTTATTATCTGGTCTAAAGCTGATATCTGCACAATATCTCCACAAACGGGTAATACTGTTGCAGCTTTAGATTAACAGATGTTAGTCTTTCTGAATACAAATTTAGGTACTCTTCAATGTTCTCTCTAAACCACAAGGCTGAAAATGCTACTCAAATGGAGAGGAAGCTCTAAAATATCATGCTTATCTGACACTGCAGAATTGACAACTACATAAAAAGGTCACAGATGCTTTTGCACCTCTTGGTTACATATGACTGAGTTTATATCTCTGACAAGTTCAGATATATAAAGCAGTCAAAACCAACTAGATTATCAAACCATTAAAAAGAGAACAAAAAATCCACACACCTGCTGTGGAAGCTCGCTGATGAGGTACTGCGCAAACTTCTGAAGTTGGTCCCTCTGCAGCCTAGACAGGGACTCTGAAACGGGGGCTCGCAGACACACAGCAGATGCCTATAAGGACACACACAGACAATCTGGCATTTAATAACAAGATCATCAATAATAGCTGAAGAGAGAATGTACATTTATTAATATTTTATTTCAGAACTTCAGTCTGGCTAATTCTCCACAATTTACACAGGTTGACAAATTTTACATTTAGAACATTTGTCTTTAATACAGAGTTTATCAGGAACCTCCATGCCATTATTAAAGTTTTGCAATGCTGGACCTGCCTAAGGTTTCAGCACTGCAAACCATATTTCACTTAAAAGTTTCATAAATTAGATTTTCCATTAAACCTTCATAAATTATTGATTACAATGAATTTTATCTCATGGCAGTTGATATACAATGCATGACGATAATAAAAAGTGAAGAGTCCTGGTGGTACTGATGTGACTAATATTAAAATTCAAGATCTGAAAATTATAGCACAAAGCAAGGATTCCTAGGCAAAGCTCTGTAATCCAAAAGTAGCATGTTTGAGTAAACTAACAAAGACCAAGTTTGACAGTGGTGTATTTAGAGAAATCTACCTACTCCAATGCAATGTAGTAAAATACCCCCAGGAAGTTATTATGTGCCAAAATACAGTACTACCTATGTGAATGAGAAGACAATCTGTATTTAAAAATACAAAAAAGCATACTAAACCAAAGTGACCACAGTGGAAGTGGCCGACACCTGGTACTGAATCCAAGACATCCTAAATGCCTGGCAAATAAATATGGACACGTTATATACAACATTTTAGTTTAATCCTTACTTTACTGCCTGTGGTTATCTACAAAAGCATTCATAAACGTCCAGATGTGTCTTATCGGAATATCATAAATTTTTAATTGAGCATACACCTGAATCTTGAGCATTCATTTTATATTATTTTTACATAATTTTATATTGCTATGTTTCTAGACTTCTTAATTACAGCACACTGCAGGATACTGCATATGATCTGTGGCTTACTGATATATGGTGCAGAAAGTCACTTGACTGCCCTCCCCCACATTCACTCTTCACCACAAACTGAAAACTTGGTTATTTGCAAACATGCCATGTGTAATGAGACCCAGACAGACGCACTTTGAGCTGAGAGGAGCTAATTCTCTTTGGCTCACAGTGAGGTCATTAGAGGAAATATAGAATGTTCTGCAGAAGCTGTGCCATAAGCCACTGATGTAGAATATATCTGAGATGTCTGAGCACGTTTGTGTATCTGTGCTTAAGTTGTGAAACATAGGTTTATACAGAAATTTGCAGGTAGAGAAAAAGGTAACCATGTGGGTCCAGAAAAACTGAGCAGTGTTGGAAACATTTAGGAAAGTTCTACAAAGCTTAATCTAGTGGGTTTTGTTAACAATATTTTCAAGGGGTTCTTATAAGGTAAGGATAGCTCTTTTAACACAATCAAGCTATTTAATCAGTTTTGCTGACCATTCTTTGAAGTCATAAATCTAAATTTTTTAGGTACAAAACAAGAACTTAAAGCTTGGAAAAATATACATCAAGCTGCCTTCTCACACTGCATATGCCTGCTTATAACCTACACAGATGAGACTGTGGGCAACGCACACGTAAGCAGAAAGCATGACGGCTTATGCTAAAGCCAAACCACAAGGTGTGAAAACCACTACAAGCCCACGCTAATGCTTTAATACCATAGTAAAAAAAAATGACAGTAATTCCCTTCTGAAGTGTAAATTTATTGAAATTCTATCATTGTAACCTGTGCAGTAAATGTTGATCAGGTTCTTCAAAAATAATCAATAACAACAGGTCACAGTATATAGTGTTATATAGAGATCTGAGCAGGTCATGGCAGAGAAAGACTCACACCTCCAGATCTGCGGGGTGTTGCTGGGTTCACAGTTTACCCACCAGATTCAGTACAATACTGTTCGCTAAAGGTCAATGCTGGGGCTGGTCTTAAACCTTGAAGAAGAGTTAGGAGCCTGTGTGGCTCTAAAAGTCCCACTGTAGCTGTGAACAACTCAATAAAACAATGTGCATCCATGAGAAAGCTGTGGAGCACCAAGACAGGAGTCAAAACAGCCACTGATTCTTCTTGATTCTTCCAAAGATTACCTACAGTTATAACATATTGAAACTGGCACTTAATGTTGAGAGCCTTAAGCTAAACATACCAAGTGAATTTTTCAAGAATGGGTCTAAAAAACCTCTACAGTTCTGCCACAAATGAACGCATTCCTGTTGAACGCATTATGTTCTCAGCTAGAGGAATGCATCAGATAATTCAATCTGAGAAATTATGAGTAATTCTCTCTGTGTTTCTATACTGAAAAGCATCTAAACAATGTTATGTATTCACTCTTAACTAACAAAGTGTGCAAGTGTAAGCTTATTTCCAAATGAGCTCATTACAATGCCCCATGCTGACGCATGCAGAAGAGAGGGAGCCCACCCACAAACACGCAAATGCTAAAAGCCACCCACGACCTGGGCTGCTGGGTCTATCTGGCCGAACAAGGCCCTCGTACAGGGGGATATCAGGACAGAGCAGATCCCTGCCTCCACCCTCTGTGCTCCACTGGGAGCCTTCAGACTTAATCAAAAGCCTCTCAGCACTCTCACACCCACACCAACCGCACACAGATAGAGATACACACAAGTCATAGACTAGTAGTGCACTATGATGCTTTTTTTTCCCCAAACATTTTCGTGGTATTGTGGAATTTTCACAATACACGATGGGCATTCAGATAAATTACATTTGCCTTTACTGGGGCTGGCCTGTAAGTCAAGGAATAGGCACAGTCCACCCAGAAGCATGTACCCTGTGTGAAAGAACGGGCTACAAAATAAGAAAAGAAAAGGAAAAAAAAAGTCTGTAAAATTGGAGAGGATGTAATTGCTTATAAATGTGGATTTTTATATTGATTACAGGAGCAGGATAGCTTCAAAATAATTTGTCTGAACACCAGAAGCTGACATGATCTATTGAAAAAACATGTAAATATCTTCCGTTTCATATAATTAGCTGTGCTTTCCTCTCCAGCTAATGAGCAAAACTACTAATAACCTCACAAAAACTGGCTTAACATGATATACAGTAACAAATGCTAGCAAAAATAATTTAGGTTACAGTACTATATTAGGAGATGCTATACAAACCACTCATGGATGTTCAAATACATACGATATAAAATTTACATTGTCAAATGAGGGGTGGGCAAACTTTTCAAACATTTTTTTATGACTGGATATCTTTCACAAACAAACAAACAAATAAATAAAAACAAACAAACAAACAAACAACAAACACTGCAAAATCTTTAGTGACAGGTCCAGAAAACCAACCTATGATGATAATAAAACTGAAATTAGATGAGTATATGAAGTTTATCAGCAAATCTCTGGAGGAACAGCACTCACATTGTGAATCCTAAAGAGGCAAAGCGCCACAACATGGGCGCACCATTTGGCCCCGGCTCCGCATGTGCAGCTGCAGGAAGTAATCCGACAGCGGTCAAACATGACCGCCACATTGTAGGCACCCTTTGATTGGCCAGCCTGGGGCGAGACGACAGTGGCACTGAGGTGGAAACCTGTGTAATATTAGAATATAAACAAGAGAACAGTGAGTCTACACATCTCACATACATAACACATTTGTAACTGCACTTTAGTGCTTGTCTACACTGTTTCCAGCATGTGTGTTTCATGTAGAGGTGGGAAATATGACAATAATATTGTGATTAATGTTGCTTATTATGAAAACATTTTTAATTATTGTTATATCGTATTTTTGCAATATCTAACCCTAACCCTGTACCATGCATGTTATAGCAATGAGAAAACATTTAGTTATTAGTCATATCCTGGAACAGTCACAATGCTGAACTGAACCAAAAGGCATTTTTCTTGTATATTAGTCTTTACTTGAGATCCTCTTATGATATTTGTGTGTTTTTACATACCAAAACAAGTTGTATATCGTTTTTATGTGACCATTTTCCAACCTCTCCTCATCCCTTAGACTGTTTAGTACTGCTCCTTGAAAACCAATATCAGTGTTCTGACTGGCTGCCCTGTATTGTGCCTCATTCAAGAGGTAGTGCCAGCTGAAACACTCTTTACAACTTCAGTGTGAATGGGAGGGGCTAAACTGCCAGAGGGTGAATAGGTGCACATGTAAATCTGCTAGTTTCTGTCTCATCTTAAAACACACAAAATTCAAAACACACTGGACAGGGGAGTAAATGGTATGTTGTCCATGATATGGAACCTTTAAATTGAACTGACACATTCTGCAACAGTACCTAAGCAAACGCAGTCCTTAAAACCCTCTACAGTCTTTGTCCAAAGAAGCATTCTGAAACTTTTGAGACATGATAGTGTCTAAATTTGTTGATTCTGTGGCATTTCTGAAACTAATAGTAGTCATCAGAATGCAGGAAATGAAAAATGTTATTTTTATACGCAAAGTGACAGAGTGAGTGTGCGCGTATGTGAGAAAGAGAGAGAGAGAGAGAGAGAGAGAGAGAGAGAGAGAGAATGAGTACGAACATGTAAGGAAGTAAGAGAGTGGGGGTTGGCCAAAAGCTTTTACCACTGGAGCACAGCCAGCCTTCCTCTGGCCAGCTCAGACAGAGGGGGGCAGTGGGTGGTTTCAGCTCAAAGCTGCTGTTCCTGATTCAACAGCCCTCCTTTGCAGGGCCAACTCGACTCCATTCCTCCTCACTCTCCCTCTCTTTAACTCTACCTGTTTGCCAAAAGCCCCTTCTCTTCCTGACCCACTTCCTCTTTTCAGCGGCCACCAGCAGGGCAAAAGGGCTCCAAAACGTCACATCCAATTCTGGTAAAAACCACTTAACCTCATTTTGCACCAATGTGGCCTTTTCCCCCCAGACAGTGAAAAGGAGAGGGTATGGACTACAGCTGGCAACAACCAACCCTCAAATTTTAGCATTAGCTCTGAGGATTTTCAGCGCCTGTTACATGTAACAGAGCACTGCCGTTTTTTACGAATGTCATACAGCAGATGAAAATTGAACCGAAAAGTCCAGCTATGCTGCTCTGGTTCACCGTGTTTCCCTCTGGCATAATTAGAACTATAGCCAGACTTGGTGCTACTGAGATGCAGAGAGCGCGGTTTATTCATCCTTCAGCTGCTCCCAGGGGAGACTGCAGCAACGTTTGGTTAATGAGCTAATAATGGAGATTTTAATAGCACCCAAGAGATTCTGAATCAGTCAGTGCATCGACCAGTGTATTAAAACATCAATTTTTCACAGTCCAGTTTCCTTTTTCTCAGTGCATAAACAGTGGTGAGTGTAAAGTTTGAGCTCCTTCAGATTTATTTGGAATTCTCCATTAAATGCCTGCTAAAAAGTGAACTGATCTTTATCTAAGCCATAAAAATAAAAGCTGGCATTATTAATCAAACACAGGACATTTTATTTAGCGTTATTTATAAACCACACAACTTTTTACACTCTGTTGCACAAACAATCAAAGTCACTGATGGAAAAAGCATGCAAGCCTCTAGAATAAATTACATAATTAGAGTAAGGTGTTACAATAAATTGAGATGTGGAATTAACCTGCCTTACCAGACAAAACACATAAATAAATAAAGAAAGAAAGAAAGAAAGAAAGAAAGAAATACACAAATTCACAACACAATTTTAGTGATCTGCTCCATTTATATATATATATATATATACACATACATACATACACACACACACACACACACACATATACATTATATATATATATATATATATATATATATATATTAGGAGTGGGAATCTTTAGGCACCTCACGATTCGATTACGATTCAGAGGGCTGCGATGCGATTATAAAACGATTATCGATGCATCTTTTTTTTTCTATACATGATTTCTATTTTCTTACTGTCTGAGGACTTGGTAGTTTTAAAACAAAGTATTTGTAATGATCCATAATGCATTTACGTCCAATATCTTTTATTAATAAAACAAATGGAAGTGATGTGGCAAGTGAACTAGAAGGCTCTCAATCACTGCTCTTGTATGGAGACGCTGTTGCCACTCATCTGCGATAAAATGCGCTGTTACGGTGAAATAAGATCCAGTGGTGATGGATGACCACGCAGCACATTATATATTCTTTAGTGATTTCATAACTTCGGTTTTGGTCTCGTGATAGAGGGGGGCGGGCGCGAAAGACTGCAGGTCACGTAGCAACGAGGTTTCGCCGAGCGAGTAGCGAACGAAAAAGGAAAAGAAAGACAGACGAACATTTAGAGATGAATGAACCTATTCGCATTTATAAGCAGCGCAGTTGGTTTCCTAGTATGTTAAATCTGCAACGAGAGACTGTCAAACACTAAAAAGTTGCAAAGATGAAGTCGCTTCTCTGTCTAATTTTGGAACGGGAAAGTTCAGCAAGAAGCTGGCGAATGAGAAGCGACTTCAGCCTCGTAAAACAGCTGAACGCTGAGAGACATTTTACAAGAAACTATTCAACTTTTGAGGAAAAGTCTTCTGGCGGAGATGGAAGAAAAGCGGCTGTAGCTAACGCTAAAGCTTAAAGCAGAGTAGAGTAAGTCTGTGTTTTCGTTTATATTGTTTAGCCTAAACTAGGACATTATCACATACTGAGACATACTGGACATAAATGTTGTGGCTCCCAAGGTGGTTTGATTTTTGTTGAAAGGTCAAAATGGCTCTTCTTAACATTTGAGCTGTGACTCCCGATCTAACCTGGCTTTTAATGCAGAGGGAGCCGGTCGGGTTTCTCGCTCATCCCGTTGTGTTTTTGTTATGTGCCGCCACAGACTGTCCGGGTGCTGCACGTACCCACTTCCAAGTTCCGCCCTTTGCGTTCCGTCAACATTACTATATTTAGAAAATAGATTTTTGACGTTTGTGAATCGATTCAGAATCGTCCACGTCTGCATTGCGATGCATCTAAGAATCGATTTTTTCCCGCACCCCTTATATATATATATATATATATATATATATATATATATATCCCTAACCTCAGTTGATTATGGGTGGCTTTTGCAGAAGCAGTCCCACAGTATTACACTCCCACCACACACACAAATATATATATATATATATATATATATATATATATATATATATATATATATATATATATATATATATATATATATATATATATATATATTTGTGTGTGTGTGTGTGTGTGTGTGTGATGGGAGTGTAATACTGTGGGACTGCTTCTGCAAAAGCCACCCATAATCAACTGAGGTTAGGGATATAAATGAGTAACCAATTAACTGTTAACCAATAAATAAACTGCTCAACCAATGTTATAATGTAAAAATGAAGTTATTTACTAGGCTGTGTTTAATATGGTTTAATTTAGCTGTTTATTTCATATACACGATTAACCCTGGCCGCACTTATCAGTACTTTGTTTAGCAGTCCTTTCAAGAAACAGTTTTAATATCTTGGTGCATTAACACACATTTCAGTTCAAGTGTGCGTCTATCCATTTAAGGGTGTGTCTATCAAGTACTTTACAATGGCTTTGAACACAGCTTAGTGAATCAGATTTCAAACCGGAACAATCCGTTTTATAAATGATATCTTGATGCGTTGCGTCCTTGATTTTAGGCTTGTCAGCATGGCCGTAACTAGCTATAAGGACAGTTTCAGAAGGATTTCTTCCACTTTTCTCCATTCAGGAGATTAAACTTAGAAACAGCTTTTTCCTCAACCCTCCAATAACTGCTTAGCAACCGTTGCTATCCACGATTACTTCAGCAATCAGCGCCCGTGATGTTCGTGACTAGTGTTGGGACTCCGAGGTCCTTGGAGGTTTCTGGAGATTGTCGTCACTGCAGAACCAAACGTCCAGGGTTACGGCTGGATCTGATCCAACTCCTCCCACGTCATGTTTTAATTGGTCTGAACTAGAGCGGAGCTGATAAAATGGACAATGAGTGTAGAAACAAGGTAGAATGAGCTAATAAAGTGGCTTATCAGGGTATATAACATTTAATATGATTTTTTTAGGTATATTGAGTCATTTTTGTTAGACTTATGAAAATGTGTGGCAGTAATACCAAATCCTTTTAAATGTAAAACAAAAAGTCATTATGTTTTTATTATGAAATTCCAGGATTTAGTTGATAAAACACAGTTATGTGGGTTATTTTGACCTGTCATATGTGCATTCTAGTGTTTAAATACGTTCAGCGTTTTCAACTAGAACCCGACTATCATAAGTACACTTAGGCCTACAGAACGGACTTTGTACCGGAATGTGAAAAAAGCTTTTTGAGTTTTGACAAATGAGTGTGAACGTCATGAATCGTGAGCGATTATAAAGGCTGTGTTGTGGCATTCAGGATGGAGCGACATTGAGGAAAAAAAACAAAAACACCAGCAACGCCTGCAGGTTTCCCACAGGTAAAAACGCAACAGGGCAGACCAATGAAATAAGTCGTAGGCGGAAAACATAAGCAAAACATACTAGTTTAACAACCAATAGAAATGCGATAATTTTAGACCAATGAAAAGAAGACGTGGGTGGAGTTGGATCAGGTCCGGCTCCACCCCTTTGAACTTGTGGTTGTGCAGTGAGTGATAGTTGGGGTTTTTGAAGGGTTTTATGAGATTCAGTGTAAAAAAAAAAAAAGCAACATAACTACCCAATGAGCAGTTAGAGGTTCTCAGCTGACCTCAGAACAGCTGTGGCTCGGCCATAGACTTGACTGCTCACTCTGTTCATCTCTGTACGAGCTGCTACACTGCCCTGAGCACCAGAGTAACTTTGAATTCTTAAGATATCCAGGTATGCGGCACACATGCTATAGGCTAACATATAACATCGCTATGGTAAAAATGTAGCTAGCTTTAAGTTTATGAGTGCAATTCACACATTAAGATTGTAAAATGCAAACCTCATATTTTATTTTATGTTTGGACTGCTCGTAACGTTGCTAGCTAGATCAGCATGCTTTAGTCTAGCTCCAGTAACTGCACAGTTTAGGCTCCATAGTCGCTATTTTAGTAATTAGACAAGAAACTAAAGTTGTACTGTGTTACCTGCTCATAACATATTACAACCAGTATCAGAAAGTTCACTGTTAACTAGCATAGTGATGGTATAGGATCAATATTATTAAGAAATCAGCAGGTACATTAGACTGTATTTTGTCTTATTAACTGTATGAGTAGCTGGCTTTCCCGTTAACTAGGGTTTTCCCGTTCCACCTTAAATGGTGCAGCAGTTACATTCTGGCACTTTAGGCGTCAGTACTGCTTGACTATTTAAGGTGGAACAGGAAAGTTAGTTAGCTAGCTACCGAGACATTAGCGATTTTTTATGTTTGTTATGAAGAAAACAACCATAATACACTGAAACAACATTAAACTAAGATAATACAATGGTTATCATATTTTTAAATGGAGAAAATACTTATATTTGTGGGATTCTTTGGTCGCTCGTGCAGCCATCTTGCCGGTTTTTCTTTTTTTTCCTCATAACACTCCATTTGGAGTGTACCTCTGAAAAACCTCCTTTTGGAGGGCCATGTAGCCCTAACACTTCGCCTTACACCTCTATCTCAACAAAAATTGGGACACCCTAACCCTAGATGTGAACACGCAAGACAGAGTGCTAAGGGTTAAGTGCAAGGGGTGAAATGGGATTGGGCCATATTCTGTTGTTAGTTTATTCACTATGAGATGTGGGTCACATTTCTGCAAAATGGACCTCACTAAAATTTAGATCCTAGTTACAGCCCTGCTTGTCAGTCTATGGGGTTATAATCATCGACTAAAGACTAAAGAATAATTAGGATCCCTAATTGAGGGACAGATGAAATTGTAGCAGGAATTCCAACAGCATAATCTCAGAGGATCTTTGATATAAAAGTCAGAGGTTGGGTCACACAACGTGACAAATCATGCAAAAGAGACAAGTAAATCTATAACACTGTGGATAACACAGAAGTTGTTCTGTTTGGACTAACTCACTAACACTGTCCATTAAAATGCTGAACACTCACTTCCAACAATGATCTTTTTTAATACCCAAAGACCACAATGGAAACAGGTGTTACCTTTGAAAAAACAAACCATTATTTTGCTTTTATTGTCAAATAAAGTAATGTTACATGGTACTCTTCAGAATTTTGAGCACATGTAAAGTAACACTACAGTCATTTATTATTTTGACTGATGAACAGTGGTATTCAGGAAGCAATCACATAGAAATCCAGAGACAGAAAGCAAGATTGTTTTGGCCGTTATGTGTTCATTTATCAGCCAACTAAAACCTCCTCCTGAGAGTGTCAATGGAAAAGTGTTTGATTTTCAGTTACGCAATAGCAATGGCATTTCACTACACTTCACTGACTTAAGAGTGCAGGTACCATCATCCCTTCAGCAATCTAATTCATTTAATATCAGGAGAACTGGAAGCATTTTGCGGTAGAAAGTCAAATGAAAAAAGGAAGTTTAGTCCTAAAATGCAAAGCCAGAAACTTATTTGTGACAAGGGAATCTACACCATGAAACAATAGTTAGCAATGTTCAGTGGGCTAGTTTCAAAGAAACCTTCAGTGTGCTTCTATGAAGTATTACACTATTTAGACTGCTTTGGGACACTCTAGTATTGGTGTGTAAGCATATGGGTGGGAAAGTGAGAAGAGACAGGGGGTAATAAAGAAAAGGCTGGGTCAGTTTTGGGCCAGCACGGCTCCTTACCAATGTCAGCTGCATGAAGATGAGTCTGTGCTGCTGTGCAGCCCACCACCTCCAACAATAACACTCATTCACGAAGGCAACGTTCAAACCCACCACACTCACATTTAGCCCTGCCAGAGACACTGGGACTCAAACAACTCCAGTGTTTAGACGAGCACTGATTTTCAGCAGTGACATAAGGAAACCAGAGAAGCTCTCCAGCCGTGTGCTGAGCACTGAGCGGAACAGGCCAAGTAAATGATGGGTTTGGCACGACCGACACATAATGTAGTGCCAAAGGCCAGTGCTTCAGGAAGGTGAAATGAAGTGTGGGGATGGGACTGGGTTAGCACCAATGACCAGTGTGATCAATGTAACAGAGTGCTAAATGCTTTTTTGCTCTTTCTGAGCTAGGGCGGTTAGCTGTAAATCTCGTTTACTATGCGATACTGATATTTAAATGAGCATACTAGTGTGGAATGCTTTCAAGGACACACAGAGAAAAGCCTTAGAGATAGATAGCTCATCCGAAAAGGGCCAGTTTCTTCCATGTTCAAGTTGGTAATGATAAGAAGTCTACGTGGGTTGCGCAGCAGGGCAAGTATGAGGTTTCTCACCTATCTGCAGGGGATCTTTCACAGCTCTCACCCGATAGAGCTGCTCACCACGCTGGAACTCATCAGGACTCCCATTGGCCAAGCAAGAGTACAACCTGCAGAGAGGATGAAAAAATGAGAAAGTGAGGAGCTGGGAAAGCAGAAAAAGACAAACACCAACATACAAATGCTTCTATTGTTTTATCACAAACCTGGTGCATCCAAGAACATTCAGATAGGTGAATTCCACCTATTTTCACAATTGTTCCATAATTACATTGTTAAGAATTACACAAAACTTATTCAGAATAGTTTAAACGTGCTAGTGGAACTCAAATTCAAAAATGTTCACAGACGTGGTGATGGGAACCAGAGATCCAAAGTATTTAATGCCTCTAAAATATTTTTTAAAATCTATTCATGGAGGAGAGATACATGCATGGTGTTTAACAACTAAAAACTCAGAAGACACGCGCAGGTTCACTGGCTATTTCGAAAAACAAATAAAACGGCTACTTTTGCACTGTACACATCACAACCCCTGGTTTCTATCATCACTACTGTAAAGAAATCAGAGTAGGTACGTTTCTCCACTTCTCCACATGATGCACTCCACATTAAACCACTCTGAATTACTTTGTTCACAGCAAAGTTCTTAAACCCTGAAATTTTTATGTATGAAACACTTTAAGGCCCTATTTAGTGCAGAAAAGACTAAAAGTCTGACCCAAAGTCCTGCATTAGTGTTCAACAGAACAAGAGCACCTTTGAATTTAACAGGTCAACGAGTAGTGTTCAAACTCACCTGATGTCCTCCTCATTTTCAGGAAAGCTCCAGTAAGCAATGCGAAGTTGAAGCTGCTCAGGGACTGGAGGATAGACTTTCTCCACCACCTCAAATGGGATATGGAATGCCACTTGCTTGGCTGACAGCTCCACCAGTGGGATGACCTGTCCATCTGAGGCAAGAGTAGAAATTTGAGAAGTGCTTCTCACCTGCCATTTCAATTAAAGGTACAGATGAACAGGTTTCTCATATAACAATAATGAGGGACTAAGAATAACTTAAAGATTTCTTTCTTCTCAGACAGCACAGTAGAAAAGCATTCAATGGCCAGCACTATTGGCATTTTGTTTATGCCAAGTAAATATTTTTTTTAAATCACAAGCATTACTCACCACTCTCTGAAGAGTACTGGCTCACACTAGCAACTCACAAGACTGACAGTGTTAAATAAACAATCAAATAACCTCATTTGGGGGCAGGAACCACACTGGCATGATGACAAAAATAAAACTACTGTTCTCATTTGAACTACACGTTTCCAAGCCACAATATGTATCACAGCTGACCATATTTGGCATCACGAAAGCTGTCTAAACAATGCAGTCACAAATGACGACTGCAGATGAGACAAACCCTTTTAGATGAAGAGTGGAGAGTAGGATAATAATTGAGCACATTACATTCAGTCCTTAGAAGAGAGGTTCAAGACCTCAGGCAACCTATTCTGTCCCAAAGCCAGACTGAACATACAGTCAGAGGTTTGTAAAGAGAGTTGGGGCAGGATAACTGCCAGTAAGTCCCAGCACGGAACATCCGGAAGGGTTACGGCTTCCTGAAGGGGTCCTGTACTCAAATGTCCCCTGACTTAAAACACTGAGTTTAAACCTCACTAAATGCAACTGTGAATGTAAACATATAACAAATGAATTCAAAAGATCTACAGCTACAAGTAGGCGCATAAACAGCTTTAGAGACCCAAAAACAAATTTAGCTTAAGACAATTGGTTGCAGAGGGACAAATCACATGTTTAAAGGGAAGCAGAACGAGAGTTAAGTAGAAAAATGAAAAAATAAAATAGCTTCCTTGTTAATTGAAATATCACTTTACTGAAAAGAAGAGAGCTCTGGCTGTTTGTGCTTCAATGCCTAAACTGTGGCTTTATGTATGAGATTTGATAAGCTGATGTCTGTAAAAACTGTAAATGTATTATGTATGTAATAAATGTATTAATTAGGGCTGTCAAACAATTAAAATAATTTGATTTAATCACATTATCTTGCATAGTTAACCGCAATCAATCTAATTTAAGTATTTAGATCAAATCCATTGTCCACAAAGAAAGAGTTCTCTTTGCACTTTGCAATAACTCTATACTTTTTTAATTAGGGCATTATTTTAATCATGTGAATGCAGGATACACATGAAATGAAAAATCAAGTGATTTCCATAGGATGAATGCAGTTTCCAGTGCCCAGTGAGAGCAACAGTGGCTGCATTTTCCAGCCAGTGACTGCTTATATCACATAGGCTTTTGTTAGTTTGCTGCTCGTTGAATGCAAACCCCTGTTCTCCAAGCACAGTCCAGCACTTTGGGCTCCCAAGTGGCAAAACTAAATCTAAAAAAAAATCTAACAGTTGGCCCCATCACCAGGAAATTGTGAGTTTAATCCCTGGTGATGCTACTGCCATCCGTAAGAGAACAGCTCGAAATGAGTGAGAGACATATGAACACTGATTAGAAAGCAATAAGACTGAATAATGTGTAAAGGGGTAAAGTGTTACGGTACTTAGATTTATTACTTTGAATAATGCTCATTAACATCGGTGTGTCACTTATGACAGGAAACAAGCTTGAGGCAAATGCACAGTAATCCACTGCCCTGTGTGACTTTAGACACGAGAGAACGTACAATGAGACAATGCCTCATCAATATTTCACTCAATTTCACCATAAAACACAGCCATGTCATAGCTAGAGACTTCTATTACATCATTTGGACGTGAATATTGTTCATCTGCATTACATTTGTCCAACTCCTCAGTCTTGGAGAACAGTCAGCATTAAAAGAGTCATGCACAACTTTATGCTCCAACATGCTGTCCCTTTATGCTTAGGAAGTATGAAGTATCAATTCAATTATCTGGCATAAAAACAGACTAAAAAAATCCAAACTCTTTTTGATCTCTTTTTGAATGGCCAACAATTTTCTGCCCTGCCAGAAGGACTTAACTGCAGATAGCATAAACTTGGAGTGCAAGTGGTGCTGAGAGTCAATAAGCTGATCACAGTGAAGCACACTAGCACACTAAAAACCATGCCAAACAGAAAGAAGGTACTGTGAAAAAGGAACTGGTGTCATAGCCAAGACACACAGGACAAACTAGCAAAAAAAGGCCCACATTCCCAGCAACAAGGGTTAACAACATCGGCAGATATTGACACCTTAACTGAAGCCCAGCACAAACATTGAAAAACATTGACTCTTCGTTCTGTAAAAGGTTGTTTGCAAGTTTACCCACAAGACTTCAAAATTTAAAGAAACCAACGGGAAACTCTCTCATACTGTGCTACTTTATCTATTTGTTTAATAAAGAGCATATATATTGTTGTTTTACACACTTTGTGTTAGCTATAGCAACCAACACATACAAAAAAAATATAGACGCCTTATGAGTAAAGATGAGAAGATTCAGGAAAAAAGTGCATATATTTTCCAGGCTATGTCAACATTGCAAGTGCCAACTGTGTATGACCACTAATGAGAAAGTAGAAATGGTCCCCAAATTCAAGCATAATCTGGCAGCCCAATGGAAAGAAATCCTTTTTGTGCACAAAATGAGGGAGCTGCAACCTGGCAGAGTAGCATGGATCCTGGATACAGTGACTGATTAATATGCAGGCCTTAGATGTATCGTTTTCCTGCAACCCTAGCCGCTGCCCCTAAATCCTGCAGCCCTAAGGAGAAGGAGGGACTGTCCCTTAGCCTTAAGGCCAAGAAGACTGCCTTCCTGTCACACTAGCTAACTCTGGTGACCATATGTAGGGACCAGAACAAAGAGGAGCCATGCCACTGGCTTCACTCTGTAGTTTAGAATGTGTTGGTTGTTTTTACACACCACCATTTGGCCATCTACTCTGATCATCACCTACTGAGATCTCTGCAGTCATCAAAGCCTCTTTCACCTGCTCATGCCCTCCAGCAGACAGTGGGCAAAAGTTCAAACAGGTGTTGCCGGCAGCCAAACACTCAACGCTACAAAGCTATATATCAGGTAAGGGTGTAACAGTACAGCAATATGTATGATTTGTATCCATGCACTTTGTCAAAAAGTGCACTGTATTGCTGTTACAGACTTTAAAAAGGATTGTTCAACACACTGTCTAAATCTACTCAGTGCACATGAGGATTTCTAGTATATGTGGACATTTAAAATTAGGGCTACAACAACAAACTTAAATCAATAACATCAATAAAAAAAGTTAGCAGTGCATCTTGTTATCAACCATTTGGCACAACAACACCTACACTTCTCATTCTGAGGTACAATACTTAATAAAAAAAAAGATTAAATAAAATAAAATATATAGTGGAGACTGCAGTGTAGGGTCAAAAATATGGAAACCTTCACTTTAAACATCATCTAAGAAGACAGACTTCTGTACATTGTATAAAATCACAGCACCACACACGCGTAAGCAGTTTTCTCTGCTTCGTCCACAGCAGGAGGTCAGCATGGTGATCAACTAAGAAATTAAAACTGCAGTCAAAAGTCAAAAACAGCGTCTTGGTGCCTCTTTTAATTTACTAAATCGAAAATTAAACAACGTTGGCTGAAAGGATGAGTTACATTGTTCATCTCAACTAGCTAAATTACACTATTCCGTTACTACGGTTTTGTTTTGATGATTCATTTGAAGATGCAAGCTATGGCCTCATGTGCATGTGGTCAGGGCTGAGCTACAGGCATGTCTGACATAGCTGATAAGCAGTCTGTTTCTGTGTGGTCAGTAATATCAAGTAATATCAGATGTTACCAACCGCACAGAAACAAAAAATTTTTAGCGTTGCTTTATCATTAGAGGGAAATGATTTGTTCTTTTACTGTTTGTACAACTTTCACACTCATTAAAACTGCATCTTAAAGAGTAAAACCAATCTGTCGCTATGTCTTTGATAATATAATGATAAACTAATCATTTCACTATTTCTTTTTCCCAATTAACTGAAATAATAACTGACTGATTAGTGATTTATGGAAATAATTTCATAATTCACTAATAAGTTGCAGCACTATTTTAAACAGACCCTTTAGAACTATTGTATCACAACATTAGCATTTTATCATATTTTTTTTTCCTTTTTCTGAAAATCCGATCCTATCTTCCTACATCTTTGTGCCAGTGACACGGCAGGCCCAACTCCTGTGTCTGTCAAAGGACTTTTAATGGGAAAATGTTTCACACTTACGGTGAAATTAAATAAAAAGGCATCGTGACACAACAGAAGTGGTGCAGAAAAAGACAATGAAATAGATACTGTGAATAGGTGTGAGTAAATTAGTGTTCACTCGGATCCACCAAGCCATGTGGCATAATCACAGCCAGTCATCGGCTGACTAAGCCAGGGTGACCCATTGAGTAGGCTGGTAGACAGCTGTGCCTTTGTCTCTTATTATACAGGTCTGATGTCCTACTACTCACTAACATACTGTCTGTAACTCAACAGACGAAGGACAAAGATGGTCAGCGTCCCAAGATTCCAAATAAAGTATACTGAGTGATAATGCTCCCTCAATTCCTTTGCCAAGAAAAGAAAAGGAGCTTTGGTCACGTGAAATACCTTCAGGCCTACTTCTAGAGCATATCCAACTAAAAACGAGGGGATTTTGGTGTCTGGCGAGTGAACTGTACAAGATCAGCAGCATTATGCAGAATCATTAAATGGGGGGTTTATTGCTTAACCACAATACCCTGCTCTGAGGCAGTGACCTGCCCAAGACAAAGCTCTTTTTACAGCCTTCCCTCTGCTCTACTACACCCAACCCCCAACACTCCTTCAATCCAAACACCACAAGGCCTGTGTCTAGAAAAAGCCCCTTACTGACTCACCCAATAAACGCTACTCTCACACCTTTACTCACAAAACTCCAACAATGTAGAATTTTGCTTTTACAACCATAAAGTTGTACTGTTTAATCCCTCTAGTGAAGCACTTTTCAACATCGGGGTCTTGAGGAGTCAGAGTCTCTGTAACACCAGGAACTTTCAGTAACAATATGACTAAACCAGAGAGTCTTACTGATCAATGACTGATTCATTCTTAACAGCTATTTTCAATCCAAAAAGCGCATAAAAACATCTGCTTCACAAATGAGGTAAACAACAGTGTGGAAAAATGCATAACTTGTTGAATTTAATGAAAAAAGATGAATTTATGGTGCACACAGCAACATCAGCCTACACAAATGAGCCAAATGTTAGTTTTGAAAAATGCATAACTTGTTGAATTTAATGAGAAACTATTCATTTAGAGTGTGCACAGCAACGTCAACCTTCACAAGTGAGCAAAACATCAGTTTGGAGATCACTGAATGACTTGTTGAATTCAGCGAAAAAACGATGTATGTACTTGAAAATAACCTTGTAAAGTACTCCAAAGACAATAAGTTCAGATAGTGGAGTGAGTCCGTTAGTCAATGTGATTTTTTCTAAGGAAACTATATCCCAGAATACACTGGCTGCACTGCAGCCCCCCAGGAACTCTTGCTTGGCCAGGATTCGAGGAATTTTGATATGCTCTAACTTCTAGTCCTTTTTTCATACAGGCTACGTGAAAAGATAAGGGGTTTTACTTACAGACACAACTTACAGACACACTTCTACACGTGTTTTGATTCTCTGAATGACTTTCACACTCCGGTGGTTAATAACTTCCGAAGACTTGACAGTTTTGGGACAGTGTCGTCCAGCAACTCATAACATATGCTTTGTTCTAAGGTCAGAGGTAAGGGCAGGGGCACATGGGAGTGAGAGGGCTCACATTACAATGACAACGAGCACACAAACTGTTTCGTAACACAGGGGAGAAGCTTTGTAGTTACCTTTAATCTTAACAGTGGGTGAATTCGGGCCAGCAGACTGCTTTCTCCATCCTCTCCAATTCTGACAGAGGCTCTCTGCCTCTGATATGAATGAGCAAAGGGAATCCTCTTCAAAACGGTCAGAGTCTTCAAAGGAGAACCTCTCTCCGTCTTCCCACTCGGCGAACATTAGTTCCATTACATTCGCTGGTTGCAATTAGAAAAAGCTGAGGACTTCAACAATGGGGAATTAGTTGCTGCTTTGGGAGGACAGCTCGCAGCTGACAGAGGGAGTGCAGGCAGCCTGCATGAGCGAAGCACACTTCCACTGGGCAAGTTGCAGCTGGGGGAGGGGAGGGGGAGGTGAAGAGAACCAAAACACAGCAAGGAAACTCTCCCAAGTCTCTCAAGCAAAGCAAGTCTTTTTTGCCTTTTCTTCTCAGTCAAATGTGGGCTATTTACGGTGACAACGTGAACTGGGTGTCAAAGCACATCCATTCAACTCCACATCACAACAGTCACATCTGATCCTTGGGCAGCATTAATGTAAAGTTAATCCATGATTTTGGAATGTATTCCCACTGCTTAAGATTTTAAAAGTACTCCTAATCCTGATCCATACATACAGCTTGAAAGACAAGATAAACATTTAGCTGTAATATGCACAACTAGTGAAAGCTGTCCTGAGCAGAAGATAGGGCTACACTTTGACTCAAAGAGAGCAAAGTAAAATAACACTTTTTATCTTTGCAGATAAAAGCAATAACATTTCTGCTATTATAATCATGACTAGGAACTAATTTATGTGAGTTGATCCCAGGGCTCGTTCACTAACATTACAAACATATTCAAGTTTCTTTGTGTTGGACCTTTTTTCAGCAAGTCTGCATGGCAGATAAAGAGTAACTCAGCTAAGCCTTTTCTTACGAGCTACCAAACTACTACACTGAGGACTGTCAAGGTTTTTTTCCCCCTATATGCTGCACTATAAGCTAGTCATACTGTCGATGTAGTGTTGTAGTGAAATGTTCAAAGAAAGTACTTACTCAGAGACGAGGAGCTGTTTGCAAACTCGCTCGAAAAAGTTAACTATTTTCTTCCTGCACTGCACCCCTTTCTCCTGTTTATCCACTCAGCTGAGCCGCTCTCTCTCGCCTGTGTCCCACAATAGCTCTTCCTTCGGCTAGCGAAACTAGCTACGGCTAAATAAAGAGCTAAACATCAAGCGAACGGTGAGGAGGGGGAAGAAAAACAGGCCCTTCCTGTAACAACGACCTATGGTTACTGTAAACACGACCGGCTTAAATCAACTAATCCACTTTCTGATATTAAAATGGCTCGTATATGAGGTTTTGAGATTCTTCAAATGAAAAACAAACGGACGAGAGACAACCAGTTAGCTAGCAAACTAGCTAGCTAACTCCTAGCGGCTAGCTAGCTACTGGCAAATAGTTTTGAGGCTGCTGCTGCTGCTGGCTAGTTTGCTAATCCGAATTAGCCATAAAAGCATTAAATGACACACTTGAGAGCTGATATGACTTGTCAACACATGTTTTATGTTCTCCAATAAGTCCAGAAGGTATTTAAGAGAATTTTAATGCTGACAAAGCTTTGTTAGGAGGAAACACTTGTTCCCCAAATCTAGTCTAAACACACAAGTAGCTTCTCAAAACAAACGCTCTCCTCTCTGTTGCTTTAGTTTATTCAATGAGGTCGTGATTGTCGCTGATACTTCAGTTAACAAAGCTTCTAAGCTTAGCTGATCGACTTCATCAACCATGCAAAACAGGCTTGACATTTGTTCACCGGCAAATATGGCTAGGTTAGCTAGCTATGTATTTTTGATTGTACTACTACAGATGCCCTCTCATATTTCTTTCTTCTACAACAGCGTGTCACTGTGTTTGCTCCCGCGATCTCCCACCGGTTTCTCAGTCCTGATTTCCAGACGTACGTCCTGTTCCCGCTACGGTTACTTCTGATCGCTCTGAATGCCAAAATGCCTTTAAAAAGCCGACAATCTGAGCCGGGGTCCCCCAAATTCTTTCTCCTGTCCCCCCCTCCTTTTCTCGCTCTCTCCGGTCTGGAAGATGGCTCTGCACTCGAAAGCTTCAGAGAGCTGTGGCTGCGTTACAATTTGCGCACTTCTGTCCTAACTAGGGCGCTTAAGCTAGTGCGTTTCACCCTCAACGGTCAGAATTTGACGCACTAGCTAGGCACCCTAGGTAGAACACAAGTGCGCAAATTGGAGCCTACTCTACGTACTTTGCCACCATCAGCTGATCTGTTGTTCCGCCACACACTCAGTGACGTTTAAAGCCAGTTTGCTTTGATGGACAAAGAGAAAGGTACACCATGTATCGCTCAACATTTGATAGACTCACGGCTTAAAAATACAACATTTTGGGGCTTCTTTCCTGTTCTTTTGGTTTCTTTTTCCTTTTTATTTAATGCTTTTTCATCTATTCACACTGTTACTTTCTTTCATGTAATTTATCACTGGCACTTTTTTATGAAAATGCATAAACATTGGGAATAAAGACACAGATCAGTCTGGCACAGCCTAGGATCAGTTTTCATTGTAGTTGGCTGTTATTTGCTTTTCTGCTGCCTTCAAGAAAACTGATACGGTTCTAAAGTTGGGCTCTGTTGAAAGTATTTTGGCAAATGAGGATAGTAACATGACCACCCACTGACACTAAATGAAAGAAGACTAATTACAAAGTTCAACATAACAGACCGACCAAGGAGCAGTTCCACAGAACATGATTTATGTCTCATGTTTGAATAACATTTTAGTATAGTTACTACTGACATGTCACTTAAATAAATAATACAATTCAAAGTCATTATTAGGCAACAAAAACAGTTCTGCATTGCAACAAAGACTGATAATGTAATACAGTACAAAGCGCTTTCCAGCACAGTTCTGGTGTAATATTAATGAATGACTGTTCTCCTCTTTACTCCACTGTCTTCACAGATGGACATTAAGTCTTAAATGGACCCCATTCAAAGAAGTTTTTCCTCAGGATTGAGTAATTTAAGAGTGGTTTTATGTGGGGCGCAAGATACTCATTGTTACTCCTGGGGTTGGTCTTCAGGTGTTCCATCACGCTACACAGTAATTTGTGAGCTTAGCTCCTTAAAATCTATTAAACCTGGTAAATATGTCGTCATATTGTAAACACATTGATTTTTTTTCATGATGTAGCATTATTAAACAACCTTGTACAATTTACATTCATTAGATTTTGTTTTGCTACAGCTTCACTTGGGTTCCACAATAATATGTACATTTACATCATCACTGTCCCAAAAAACATGTATCTCCATTTTTGTCAATTTTTATTTTGCTTCATCATTTGAACATAGCAGCTGTCCTTGAAATTTCATGATGAATTAATCAATAGAAATGCTCTAAAATCACCTGAAATAAAACCTCTAGATATTATCTTGCATTAAATGTTAAGAACGTTTTTATCTTTTCCTGTAAAGTTACCATTTTGGAGATACATGTTTTTCTATGGACAGATATGTACATTTACATTTAACATTACTGCATCTCTAAAAAGAGATTATTATGAATAATTATACTGACGACTAATAAAGTATTCTTGCTGCCCTGGAATGTAGGTGAATTTTAATGCTTAATGCAGACACCACCCTTCACACAGAAACATGAAACCCATTTGTCACAAATACTGAGTTTCATATAAAACAAATTAAAGACTCAAAAACACCTGCAAGTGTTTCACTATTATAGCATGCAGTGTAGTTCAACATGGTTTTATATACAGCCTGTATATACAGTCTTGTCAATCAAGGCAAGTTCAACCTTAAGGATTCTGCACATTCAGTATGCTTGTACCTCAAGAATGTCAGTCATGTGTTTGAGATATGTCATTGCCTCTTTCCTCATGGCTTTTGTAGCGCAAACGAGTAGAAGTAAAAATGGTATATGAGCTGGTGAACGTGCAAAAAGAGGTCAGCTCTCCTCACAGGGCACCCTAATTTATTAGAGATGGCACTGATATGAAACCAGGTATCATTGGGCCAATATCATCAGAAATAAATATCAGAGGAAAAAAAGAGTGATTCCGGTTAAATACTGTAACAAATCTAGCCTGAAATGGCACACACTCACATTGTGTGATGTGATGTTGTTAGATGTGCATTTCCTCCTGTGGTGTAAGCAGAGTGTTTGAGTAGTTTAGGCATGATGCTCATCTTAAGAGAAGTGCTTCAATTCCAAACAGCTCATTTTAAAGTGTAGTAATAGTTAAAGAAAAAAATATAACATCAAGATTGGTATTGGAAATGGCCGATACTTAAGGTTTCAATATCGATATCGGAAAAGAACAAGCGGTATTGTCCCATCTCTACAGTTTAGCCACCTCTTTACAGACTTCACATATTTTAAATATAGTATATTAACAAGGAATGAGCCATAGCACCATTGTAATTTCAGACTTAAGCAGGAGCCAGGGTGACCTTCTCAATCCACTTTAGGAACCTGCTGACACGGGTGTATACCCCAGGATAGCTGGGGTCACCACAGCCATGACCCCAGGAAATGACCCCGGTTAGCGTCCAGCGTCCACCCTGGCCTTGGCACACCAGTGGGCCCCCACTGTCTCCCTGGCAACTGTCCACACGACGATGGTTTGACAGGCTGCCAGCACACAACATGCGGCCAGTGAAGCGGCTGCCGTAGCGTTTCTTACACTTCCAGGAAGGCAGCAATGGAAGCCAAGCCTGCAGCAGGGTCCGAGAGTACTCTGAGTCTGGAAGAAATGCAAAGAGTTTACAATGTGTGATACGCTGAGCTGTCATTTTGTTGAGTACACATACCTTGTACCTACAATCAGTGTTCATTTTATCAGCTGCACCTACCATACAGATGGACTTTGTAGATGTATTATTACTGACTGTAGCCCACCTGTTGCTATGCAGAATCTCTCAGCCACCCTCAACCTGCTATGAGTGTATCAGGCACAGCAGTGTTGCTAGATTTTTAAACACCTCAGTGTCACTGCTGGGTCCACTATGCAAAAATGTCCAGCCAACAACAGCTCTGCGGTCAAAAACCGACCACTAATGAAGGGCTACAGGATGAGTAACAAATGTTACGCATGGAAAAAGATTAACTACAGTCTCTAACTACATTTCTGCAAGGTGTACCTACAAGGTTAGTGTTTCTGATAAAGTGGTCAGTAAGCATACACAGTTTTAAAAACCCCAGCAACGCTACTGTGCCTGACAGACTTAGCGGTATTGTACTGCCTTGATGGCCATCTCTGGCTGCAGTGACTAATTCTATACCCACAAAGTGCACTTGATGAAATGTCCAATAAGTATCATATAAGATACAAAATTTAGCCTTAAAACTGGCTATTCTTGATATTCTTCCTTCAAACTCAATTCCAAAAAAGTTGAGACAGTATGTAAAATAAAGATAAAAACAGAAACCAGTGATGTAAAAATCTACTTTAATGTATACTTTCTGTTAAAGTTTTACCTTATCAACTTCAATTTTCTGTAAACATATGCTCACTCTGAAATTAATGTCTGCAACATGTTCCAAAAAAGTTGGGACGGGGCAATTTAAGACTAGGAACATTTTGAAATGTTCAAAACTTCCTAAACAAGTGATGCAATCATGCTTGGGTAATAAACGAAAATCCAGGAAAGGCTTAGTCCTTTATAAGCAAGGATAGGTCAAAGCTCACCACTTTGCCAAAAATTCACCAGCAAAAAATCCTACAGGTTAAAAATAACATTCCTCAGTGAGCAATTGCAAGAATTTTATTTCACCTAATATCATAATATTATCAACAGATTAAGGGCATCTGGAGTAATCCTTCTCTGCATAAAGGGCAGGGCTGAAAACCACAACTAAATGCCCCCTCCCTCAGATGGTGCTGCATTAAAATCCAGCATGTTCCTGTGATGTATATCAGCACATGGGCTCGGGAACACTCTGAAACTGCTGTCAATAAACACCACCCATCGCTGCATTCACAAACACAACTTAAGACTGTACTATGCACAGTGGCAGTCAGCAGCATTCAGAAACACCACTGACTTCTCTGCTCGAGCTCATCTGAAATGGACTGATGTGCAGTGGAAATGTGCATTGTGATCAGATGAGTCAACCTTTCAGATTGTTTATGGAAATAATGGACAATGTGTTCTATGGGCCAAAGAAGAAACAGACCATCCAGACTGTTACCAGTCTGAAGTTCAAAAGCCAGGGTCTGTCATGGTATGGGATGGTATTAGTGGATAACTTTCACATCTGTGAATGCGCCATTAACACTGAAAATTCTGAGCAACATATTCCACCTTTTAAATGATGTCTTTTTCAGAGATGTCCATGCTTATTTTGACATGACAATGCCAAGCCATATTCTGCATGTCCTAAAACATCATAGCTGTGTTACCAGAGAGTGGGTGCTAGACCAGTCTTCCTGCAGTCCAGACCTGTCTCCATGTGCAAAACACAACAGTGAAAGACCCATGTGGTTGCACAGCTAAAGACTTGTATAACAGAAGAATGGCAAAAAAATATTTTTTCAAAACTAGATCAGTTTTTGAATTCAGTCCCCAAATGATTATTAAGTGTTTTTAAAGGAAAGGTGATGTACATCGCTGGTAAACATGCTCCTGTCCCAACTTTTTGGAACATGTGGCAGGCATCAAATTTGACAGATGCTGTTTACCTGTAACTCCCCAGCCAGTGATGACACAAGCAGCAGGTCTCTTGGCCCTCCTGTCACTCTGAGCAGGAAGGCAGACAGCACTGGTGTGAGGGTTGAAGGACACACACTTCCCGTCTGTGCCCTTCAGCCTCAGCAAGGCAATATCATATTCCCAGCCCTGGCTGTGGTACTTTTTGTGGATGACGATGCGCTCAGGCGAAAGAGTGCGCTCAAAGTCGTCCCTCTCCTCCGTGTGGTAGTCTCCCAACCGCAGAACGTAACGTGAGGGATCACTGCCAAACCTGAGACAGAGACAGATATAAAGGGACAGTGTGTTGGTGTAGTTCCCAATCACAGATGTCAGGAAAAGCAAAGTTAATTTGATTTATAGGAATCCCCTTCATTTGTAGGAATTCCCATTTCTAACCCTGGTGACGGAGTATGCTGATTCTGCACATTTTAGAGTTTTTCCTGCTCTAACACACCCACTTCAATTCAAAAAGTGTTTGGTGATTACCTGATTAGTTGGCTCAGGTGGGTTAGAGCAGGGAATACACAGGACAGGGATTCTCCAGGGTCATTTTTTGGAAGAACTGTTGCAGATAGACTAAATAGGGTTGGGATATTTCCAAACAGAACCACTAGATGTCATCCTCTCACCTCTTAAAGCAATGAGCAGCAGTGACAACCCAGCAGGAGTTGATGAGAGTAGCTCCACAAAGCGGATGGTTCCTCTTGGACTGAGACCTCAGCCACAGAGAGACCTGCCACGGCCAGTCCCCTCTACACAGCAAGCACACATGCTTTTGAAGCATTCAGACTGATCATGAATAATTCTTAAATGTACTCCTTTCACAAGTTGCAGACACTACAAGCTCTGATTGGATGACACCATTGATCTAAGCAGTCCTTGATCTATATTCACATTTTTGCTGCAGATTTCTGGAATCCAATTTACACACCATGCACTAATAAACAAGGCAGTAAATCCCATCTTGTCAAGTAGTTAAGCTGATTGATTTGCTAGAAGAAAAAGACAGGCTTGGACCTGCTCCACTCTCCCAAATGGAAAGACTGTGGCTCTGCTAGTCAGGTGATATTGTTTTCTGGAACTCAAGGTCAAAAAAGCCCTTCATGTGGCCCACAATATTTTCTTTGCTAAAACTTTAATGATATAAGAAGGAACATACTCTCCACCATGTTGCATGACTCAATGGAGAAGAAAGATAAAATCAAAGTGATCATGAATATGACTTTTTGGTGGCCTTGAAGGCAAAAAACATCAATGTTACTTTAATTTTCACGCTGCTATATTGCCTAGTAGGATTTGTTTCCTTTTTGTTTCATTTACAGTGCCCTTCACAAATATTGGCACCCCTGGTAATCATGAGCAAAATGAGCTGTAAAAATATTCTTAATTACTTATTCTATTTTTTATGTTTCAAAATATTAGCAAAAATCTAAGCTTTATTTAAGGTGTAATGATTGAATAAAAAACTAAATCTTTATATGAAAAAATATTTTTCTTAAATCTACATGTGTCACAATTATTGGCTCTAGAAACTCTTAAGAATGAAATGTAACTGAAATATATTCCCATTTATATTTTATGTTTTTAAGTTCACCTGAGTAATTAGGAACACTTAAATGGTCAGCCAAGACTTCACTAGGGAATAAATATAAGATGAAACACAGGCCATATTCCCTCAGTCATCCATCATTATGAGAAAGACCAGAGAGTACAGCAATGTGACAAAAGGTTGTCGAGCTGCACAAATCAGGAAATGGCTACAAGAAAATAGCAGAACAGTTGTACTGGAACTTTCAGTGGGACCATGTTCTCTGGTCAGACAAGACCAAAATAGAGGTTTTTGGCAACAAACACCAGAGGTGAGTTTAGTGTGGACACAAAGATGGAGTATGGTGGTGGACCTGTGACACTGTGGGGCTGTTTTTCTTCCAAAGGCTCTGGACATTTTGTTTGGATGCATGGAATCACAGACTCAAGTCTGTGTCTCAAGTCATGAAGTACCAGCAGAACTAAAATCAAAATCTGACTGCCTCAGGCAGTAAGCTTAAACTGGGCTATAGTAAGGATCTTCCAGCAGGACAATCATCCAAGGCATGCCTCAAAATCAACACAAAAATAGTTCACTGACCACAGACATAAGGTTTTGTCACAGCCATCCCAGTACTCTGATCTAAACCCCATGGAAAACCTGTGGGATGAGCTGAAGAGTAAAATCCACAATGTGGACTTCAGAATCTGAAGGATCTGGAGAGACTGTGTGGAGGAATTGTCTCAGAACATTTGCCATGTGTTCTCTAGTCTCATTAAGCATTACAGGAGAAGACTTAGAGCTGTTATTTTTGCAAAGAGAGGCAGCACAAAGTATTAAATGAAGGAGTGAAAAAAGGTTAGATTTTTGTAAATATTTTCAATGAAAGATCAAAAAATAAGCTATAAAGAATATTTTTTACAGCCTTTTTGTTTACCAGGGGTGCCAATATTTGTGGAGGGCACTGTATATATGGATTTCATGTACATGAGTTTCTTTACAAATGCCTTATATCCATTTCTAACAATTTAGAATATAACAGTTTTGTGAAAAGAATAACAGCTGATAGGGCTGTTCGATTATGGCAAAAATCAATCACGATCATTCAGGTCAATATTAAGATCACGATCATTTCACATGATTACTCACTCACCATGGAAGCATCATGCATTTATTTAATGCATTTAAATAAAAATAAATTAGACTGAAAAAACTAGATGATTTTTTTTTAGGGACGGGCAAAAGCGCACCGCTGTGAAGGAAAAGGATTTATAACACAACAAAACAAGAGCATCATTGCGTAACAGAATATGGCACAATCATTGTTTTATCCCATTTATCCTGTTTTCATTATCGTTGTAAGCCAAAATTGTAATTGAAAATAAATTTGATTGATCGCTCAGCCCTAACAGCTAACATATAAAGGAAAACATTTTTATTTCTCTAATAAAGGTTATATTGATCACAATGTAGCACCCCATTTCATGAAAAAAGAAAATTTTTAAAAGTGGTCTATAATGCATTTTGGAACAAATTTCATCGCATACATTAGCGGCATTGGAGAGATGTTTTAAGCAACATTTAAAACAGATATTTGGTGTATGTATTGTACTCCAGAAGAGCAGAATGTTTATATGATGCTGTGGTACTATGCTAAAATATCCGCATTTTATTCATTTGACTGCATTTGTAACCTTGTAATAATAAACATTATATTTCTCTTTATTGCTACTTCAATTTAATTGAACATTTTATTAATGCTTATATATTGGAATTGGGACATATGTACATGAAAAATTGTCATCAGTGGATATCGTCATTGTGCATCCCGTAATATGCACAATTAGACTCAGGTATACAGTAAAATTAAACATAATCACTACAATATTGATGTGGCCAGGTTCATAAACACCACTTTCAAACTGAAAATACTTCTATATATTCTTGCACAGAAGGGGTCAGTTACCTTAGCGACTTGTCACCACCAATGATCCTCCTCCTGCGGCGCTGTGTGTTGGGCCTAAGGCCACATGACTGCATTGCCATGGCGCTGTCGTCTGCTGGCTGTGAGACGTAATCGCAGATGACCCCTGCATCCTCACTGTGTCTGCAGTCATGCGTGCCTGGCCCATCAGCTGGACACTCACCCAGGGATGACTCTGTGCCCACACACCTCACATTGTCCAGGTGGATCGGTCCCTGGCCCTCTCCAAAATAGGCCATGGAGCGTGCCTTAGACACTCCACTGACAAAGAGAAACAGTGGAACAAGTTTAAAGAACTAGGCTCCTACAGCTTGACTACTGGCATAACAAAAGCAGATTCTGCACTTCATATCAACAATTTCATAGGCTGATGCTCAGCTCATTAGCATAAAGTCTGTTTCATGTAAATTATCCAAACAATTAAAAAAACACATAGTATTTATCACAATGTCACCGTTTCCATCACTTACATGCACCCCTGCTTTCTCCTGCATTGTGAATGAGGATCAGCTACTCACATAAAGCCCAGCTGCCTGCAGACCACTCCAGCATTGATGTCATTCCAGCCATCATCACACACACTGCCCCACTGGCCATTAAGGAAGACTTCAACTCTGCCTTCTTTACGACTCTCTCCAGACACTAGTCTCACCAGAGGGCCTGCAAATATGGCAGAAGAAATATGCAGCGCATGGCACGAGATTGCCATCTGTCATTTGTAAAGTAGACATAAAAAGTCACACGTGTTACCTGAGACCGGAGGAACTGCAGGAATGTCATTGGTGTCGACCGCTCTCTCGCAGCGTACGCCCACATCTTCACTGTGAGAGCAGTCATGACGCCCCCACTCTGCATGCTCACACTCCAGCAGGGAGCTCTCGCCCCCCTCACACTTCACTTCATCCAGCAGGATCAGCCCTGTGCCCTCTCCATATGCACCATCTGGAGCTACCTCAGCTCGCCCTCTGCTGGAAAAGTAACTGCATTATTACTTTTCTTGTTTTAACCCAGAGCACAAGATGGGTATTATTATTTCATCAGTATATAAGATAGATAAAGTAGGGATCTTTTATTCAGTGGCCTTTAGAAAAAGCAGTCTATTACAATTCTAAGTCTACTATAAGTCTAGTATAATTCTGTAGACTTATTACAACCCCGTTTCCAAAAATGCTGTGCAAAATGTAAATAAAAATAGAGTGCAATGATATGCAAATCATGTAAACCCTATATTTAATTGAAAATACTACAAAGACAACATATCAAAGTTTGAAACTGAGAAATGTTATTGTTTTTGAAAAATATAAGCCCATTTTAAATTTAATGCCAGCAACACAAAGTTGGGACGGGTGTATGTTTGCCACTGTGTTGCATCACTTCTTCTTTTAACAACACTCTGTAAGCATTTGGGAACTGAGGAGACCAGTCGCTGTAGTTTTGAAAGTGAAATGTTTTCCCATTCTTGCATGATATAGGATTTCAGCTGCTCAACAGTTTGAGGTCTCGTTTGTTGTATTTTTCATTTCATCATGCGCCAAATGTTTTCAGTGGGTGACAGGCAGGCCAGTTTACACCTGGACTCTTTTACTATGAAGCCATACTGTTGTAATACATGCAGAATGTGGTTTGACATTGTCTTGTTGAAATAAACAAGGCCTTCCCTGAAAAAGACGTCGTCTGGATGGCAGCGTATGTTGCCAAAACCTGTATATATCATTTAGCCCATGTCATGTGGACTAATGCACCCCCAGACCTAGCTGGCTTTTGAACTGTGCACTGAAAACAAGTCAGATGGTCTTTAGCCGGGAGGATGCAGTGTTCATTATTTCCAAAAAGAATTTCAAATTTTGATTCATCAGACTGCGGGACACTTTTCCATATCACCTCAGTCCATCTTAAATGAGCTTGGGTCCTTGGGTGGAAGGCAGCAGCATTTCTGGATCCTGTTTACATATGGTTTCTTCTTTGCATGGTAGAGTTTTAACTTGCATTTGTGGATGCAGCAACAACTATTTTCAGAAGTGATCCTGAGCCCATGCAGTGATTTCCACCACACAATTATGTCTGTTTTTAATGCAATGCTACTTGAGAGCCTGATATCATGGCCAGCCAATATTGGTTTTCGGCCTTGTCCCTCACATACAGAGATTGCTCCAGATTCTCTGAATCTTTTGATGACATTATGTACTTTATATAATGAAAACTCCAAGTTCTTTGCTATTTTACGTTGAGAAACATTATTCTTCCATTGTTGTACTATTTGTCCGCACAGTCTTGGTGAACCCCTCCCCATCTTTACTTCTGAAAGACTCAGCCTCTCTGGGATACGCTTTTCTTACCCAATCATGTTGTTGACCTGTTGCCAATTAACCACCAGGTGTTTTTTAGCATTACACAATTTTACCAGTCTTCTGTTGCCCTGTCCCACCTTTTTTGAGACGTGCTGTTAGGATCAAAGTCAAAATAGGCAAATATTTTTGAAAAAAACAATAACATTTCTCAACATTAAATACTGGGTTTAAAAGATTTGCACATGACTGCATTCTGTTTTTATTTACATTTTGCACAGCATCCCAACTTTTTTGGAATAGGGGTTGTATTTAGTTAAGACCCTTAAGACTTACTCAGTACTGAATTATTTAGTATGAACTAACTAACTATTTCATAACTAGTATGAAACTAACATGTAACATATATAGCTGAGTGAGGAATTGAAGTGTGGTTCTACTTCCAGGCCTTTAAAGTTTAAGAGAGTTCATTCCTATTGAGGATGTTCCACATAAAAGTCTGGTTTGTTTGCTTAAGTCACATACTGTCAGCTTGTTTAGACTTAATTAATTATATGAGAAAACAAGCTGCAATGTCCAAAAACAAAATACAAGTACCTCCAAAATGGTAACTTACCAGAAAAGGGCAAAAACTTTATTTACTTTTAAAATTGACGCAAAGAGTTTTAATTCCAAACAATTCTGGAGCATTTATGCTGGTCTATTCACCATTAAAGACACTATAAAGGGCGGCTGTTGTGTTCAAATAATGTAGAAATAAAAATAAATGAATAAATAAGTACAATTAAAATTAAAATAAAAAAATTCAGAGAATTGTTTTTGTTAATAGATAAACTTCAAAGCACACCTGTGATTCTGCCAATAAAGTTCCCTTGAACGATGACATACAGGTAAATAAAATGTTAAGTGGGAAACACCTAATCTGGCCTGCCAAACTCTTCTGAAGACATACATTAGTTGAATCAGACAAGGCTGGTGACTACTGCTTTAGAATCTCTTCTGACTGCAGCAAGCCAAGAGACTTCATGCCCACCTGAATCCAAGTTGCCGACACACCACTTGGGCATGGCGCTCAGTCCAGTTGTCATCACACACTGTGCCCCACTCTTCAGAGTGATACACTTCCAGGCGTCCCTCCCACGGTCCATCTGCTCCCACCAGACGCAGCACACCATCTATACACACAGTTTAACCCCTAGGCTTTATTATTGTGCTCCTTATTCAGATACATAAATAAAGGTGCTTTTCCTAATCTAACAGTCTCCCGATCTAACATGACTTGTATGTTCGGAACATGGGTCCTTTGTCTGAAGTTTGTTATTGTGGTCAAATATTAATCACATGTATCCATGTGTGTATTTATGTAGTACAGTGGTTTCTTGTTCTACTCCTCAATGGCAACAACCCTGCAAAGTTTGTTTTGTTTTATTGCTCTATTCCTTTTTAGCTCATAAAGAACTTGGGGTGTTAGAACAGAGATGAAGGCAATTTGTGCAGGACAGCTGGTCCCCATGGCTGAGACTGGAAACCTAGTCTAGTATATCATTGCCTTAATGACAAAATCTCATATATAGACAAAATGATACTGTATCTTCCCTCATAGAAAGGAAAAAAAATCTACTGTAAATGAATGCAACAAGATTCTTTTTTTGCATCATGTGTAATTTTTCATGAAATTTCCACACAATGTAAACAATAGCTGGCATTTTCTAATTATATAAAAAATTAAAAATGGTGTTATTGATATGACAGTGACAACACACTCAGCACATATCTGTGATGCGCTTGTGCTGTTTACCTGTGTATGGGTTGCAGGACACGCCTGCGTCCTCCATGTGGTCACAGTTGTGCTGGCCCCAGGGCATGTGAGGACACTCCTCCAGAGAAAGCTCATTTCCTGTGCACTGTACCCCGTCCAGCAGGATGGGCCCAGAGCCCTGGCCGAAATGAGACCACATCCATGCTTTCGGCACACCCCTGAACACACCGTTACACACACACACACACACACACACACACACACACACACACACACACACACACAGATATACACTTAACTCCCAACACAGCGTTCAATCAATAAAACCTAAAATCTTATTCTTTACTCTGTTAAGCTACTGAAAAATACAGATTAAATATAATGAAGCAATAAACTAAATACTATAAACAATGTTTGTGAAGGAGAAGACTGACAGAACTGAGTTATGTTTGTTTTGCATTATGTTTTTTCTCTTATCTCTGAGTGCTCTGAAGGTGAGCGAGACCAAAGGGCAGGTGAATGAATGTTTCTCTCTCTCTTTCTCTTCCTCCCTCTATCTGCACATTCATTTAACATAACACACACTCAAACCCATCAATTATTCATGTACTCCTTCACTTCATCTATATTAATAAAGTTCACTCAGCATAAGTGTAGTGCTCTTGTTCTGATCTCTCCTGTGATATATCCTATAACTGTTAATTCCTCTTATCAAAATTATTCACCCCTTACACTTCATGGTCCTCCACATCTTTATTATTCACTTATTATTCAGTGACTACATGGAAAACAATGTAAAATGATTGTGTTATTATTAAGGTACAGGAATGAGAAATGGAAGTCTGAGCTTCTCAGCGGATCTGTGAAGGTTAAAGGTTTACTCAAAATTTTATATTAAACTTAAATGTTATATTTAAATTATTTATAATATATTATAAACAGTACTTTACTGTAAAATCAGAAACCACCCTTCGGTTATATAATTCCTAGTCAAAACTGCCATCATAAACATTATAACTATTTAAGTTATCCATTTTTAGGAGATATATCTGAGAAGATTAGATATAAGATAATCCACTTGGATAAGGAAGGGGAAAATTCCAAAAGTTTAGAAAGTTCTGAAAAGATATGGAGAAAATGGGACTCCTAACAAATGTGCAAGACGAAGTCAGTATCAGAAAAAATTAACCTAAAACTTTCATCTTTGAGAGAGAGGAGAAAATAAAGCTCATCTCTTGCTTTAGATGAGAAAAAAATCCACAGGTGTTTCTGTCCATCCTTCCACTGTGAGAAGACTCAACGCTATGAGTCTGAAAGGATGTGTAGCAGTCAAGAAACCGTTACTGTGAAAAGGAAATTTGCAAACCAAAAAAGAAGTGGCTGGTGCTGATGCAGAGTCCAGACCTCAACATCACTTAATGTGTTTGGTATTACTTGGATCCTAAGAAGCAGAAAATGCAACCAACTTCTAAGACTGAACTTTGGAGGTGTGAAAAAGCAAGAATGGAAGCCATGACAAAGGCATAGGGTGGATATTTTGATATATTTTGTTGTTGAGGTGTCTGTGTAATGTTTTTGTTGAATGTATGGTTTTTACTTTTCTCCTGACACTGAAAAATTAATAACTTGTGCTTAATGGCTGTTTTAATTGGAAACTAACAAATGAAGAGTAGCCTATGATAAGGTTTTAAGTGTATGCACTAATTTTAATTACTGACTGCACAGCTGAACAGCTCATCTGTTTTATGTGTTGAAAAGCTAATTAAAGCTGACAAAAGCGATATGCTATTAATAATACAACCCCGTTTCCCAAAAGGTTGTGCAGAATGTAAATAAAAATAGAATGCAATAATATGTAAATCATGTAAATCATATTTTTAAAGAAAAATACTATAAAGACAACATATCAAATGTTGAAACTTTTATTGTTTTTTTTTAAAATATATGCCCATTTTGAATTTAATGCCAACAACATGTTCCAAAAAAGTTGGGACGGGGGCATGTTTACCACTGTGCAGCATCACTTCTTCTTTTAACAACACTCTGTAAGTATTTGGGAACTGAGGAGACCAATTGCAACTGCAATTGTAGTTTTGAAAGTGAAATGTTTCCCCATTCTTGTTTGATATAGGATTTCAGCTGCTCAACAGTTCGGGGGCCCATTTGTCGTATTTTTCATTTAATAATGTGCCAAATGGTTTTAGTAAGTGACAGTTTTGGACTGCAGACTGGCCAGTTTAGCACCCAGACTCTTTTACTATGGAGCCATGCTGTTGTAATACATGCAGAATGTGGTTTGGCATTGTCTTCCTGAAATAATCAAGGCCTTTCCTGAAAAAGATGTAATCAGGATGGCAGTAGATGTTGCCAGAACATGCATATATCATTCAGCATTAATGGTGCTTTCACAGGTGTGCATGTCACCCATGCCATGCGCACTAATGCACCCCTGTACCATCATGAATACTGACTTTTGAAGTGTGAACTGATAACAAGCTGAGTGGTTTTAGTCCGGAGGACACAGTGTCCATGATTTCCAAAAAAAATGCCTCTCTGGGATGCCTATTTTATACCCAACCATGTTACTGACCTGTTGCCAATCAACCACCAAGTGTTTTTAGCATTACACAACTTTACCAGCCTTTTGTTGCCCCGTCCCAACTTTTTTGGAATGTGTTGTTGGCATCAAATTCAAAATGGGCATATATCTTTCAAAAAACAATAAAATTTCTCAGTTTTAATATTTGATATGTTGTCTTTGTACTATTTTCAATTAATTATAGGGTTTAAGTGATCAGCACATCATTGCATTTTGTTTTTATTTACATTTTATTTACAATTCACACATGTAAAAGTAATGCCTCTCACCCAAGACCCAGCTGTCTACAGACTACCTCTGCATCAATATCATCCCATTGGTCATCACAGATAGTGCCCCATTTGCCCTTATGATACACCTCCACTCGCCCCTCAAATTCTTCCAAACCTCCCACCAGCCTCAAGGGGGTGCCATTGCCTAAAAGAGAGAGTGGGAATACAGTCTTATCAACAAAGATCATAGATGTACACAATTTACTTAATCGAAATGTAAACACAGGTGCTGTGCTTTAGTATAGAGCAGTGCTGCCCGAAGTGTGGTCTGCAGGCCAAAGTTGGCCCATGAGGATGTTTGATTCGGCCAGCCAGAAAGTTACCCTAACCTCACTCCTTTACCCAATGAGAGGGCAAATAACTTATTAAACTCTTATTTTCTATTAATTCCTATTAAAATTGTATTTTTCAAGTACTTTTAAAAATATTCAATGTTATAATTTAACGTTATAACACATTTTTAAAAACTCAATTTGACACCTATCCACCTGCTTTATTTGTATAGTGTTATGTCTCTTTTGCCCTTGGTCCACCACAAACATTGCACTTTGACATGACAAAAAGTTTGGGCACCACTGGTACAGAGCCTGATTCTTTTGAAGCATGCCTTCCATGTAGACTATATAGCATCAATACATATGCCAGAACACAAGACCCACTCCATAGCATGTGCTATATCGAGTCCTCCATACAGTCCTGTATGTTTGCATGTTGGGGTGCAAATGATGACTCTCTGGAAGGGCCTCAGACTTCTCTGGTTTCGCTCTGCCTCCTGATGTTCCTGTGAAACATTCCTAGCTCACTCTAAATATACCTGCCTGTGTTCTATTTGCCCCTCTCTCTCCCTCTACAAACAAATACACACAGGCATGTGTGCTTACACAGTATTTCTGTCACTAGTCCTGTACCTCTTTGAAGTCCTCTGATCAGAGTGGCTGGAGTGAAAAAGTTAGTATGTGTGTGTGGATGTAATACGGCAACTGAGCGTGTCAAACCTGACACGCTTTAATCCTTAACATACCAACAAGAGCCTAAAAGCCACTTACAGATCTATTTAATAAGATGTAGTTATAGGCAGGTAATAACATTATGCCAAAATATGATATTTAAATGATTCAGAAATACAGTATATGTCCCCATGACTACAGTTCACAAGGTCTTCAAGTACCATTTTAAATTCTTTTCCTGTTGTGTAGTTATGCACTATTCTTCACTCTATTCACTATCACATGCTATTCTTACTGAAATATTATATTTAGAGGCAAATATGCATTATTTAAAAAAAAATCAATACACAGAAAGCTGTCTCACCTTCAGGTGCTGCACACACCACTCCAGCTTCGTTTCCATGGTTACAATCGCCGGAGACAAACTTCCTGTTTCTGCACTCTACCAGCGAGTTCTCAATGCCACAGCAGCCGAGGCGTTCGTAATGGAAGAGTCCAGAACCAGGCCCAAAGTAGGAGTGCTGGAGGGCAGTGCCGATTTCTCTGCACAACAACGGACATGCTATTAGACATAATTTCCACCTGTGAACTGCCATGGAATCCTCGTCTTGGCTCCGCCTCCTCCTGTGTCTAATAAGCTATGGCTCCGCTTGCTCATTATTATTGCCATTAGGCTCACCTGTGTCTTGTTAGCATGTATATACAGTACTCAGTGTTTAACAAATCCCAGCAGCACTACTTTGACTGACTCTTATCAGCATAACACTCACTAACATACCACTACCATGTGAGTGCTACTGTTCAGAGAATGCTTTCGCCTCGTTCTGGCTATTTTTTGGATCTCTGTGTTATATATATGTCTTGGATTGCGCTATATGCCTGACTCCTGTTATGGACAGAGCCCTATGTGATTATGAAGAAATCAAGACAAATCACTCTTACACACTGTCTCAGGTCTCCTCTTGTTACATAAGCATAGTACAGAACATACTGTAATGCATGTTAATTAGCATTAACACGTTAATGTATGATAATGTAACAAAATTATTTTAGACTGTTGGTTTCTGTTGGTCCGTTCATCATGTAAAATTCACACAATGTAAAGGGCTGTTGGTGTTTCAAAACGTTGTGAAAGAACACACAGACAAAGGCCCAGAACTGAATGTAAAGGGTCATACCCCAGCCCAAGTTGCCGGCAGATGACACTTGCGTCTCGGTCAGTCAGGTGTGTGTCACACACTGCCCCCCATTGACCGTTCAGATAAACTTCCAGCCGACCGCTCTTGTTGGATGGGCCTCCCATAAGCCTGGCTGCACCTGGACAGAGTAATTTAAACTTAAATATTTTGGTGATTCAAAGAGCAGCTAGTATTTCTCAGCCAGACAAAAACAAGAGATACAGACCAAAAAATCAACTCTGTCATTACACCTGCATAACTGCATAGCAGAGTGCATTTTATTTGTAGCTTAGTGCTACGCAATGTGTAGTACCTTAAGCTTGGCAAGTAAATAAAGATGCTGCTTATGCACAAGTGTATACACATGCATATACATCCATACTCTTCAATTGTGAAAAAAGGTTATTACTCTGAGAGGGAAAGGTAGACAGAGGCAGAACGGGATAATCACAGCAAACACAGAAGAGGCAAACAGTTTTCAACACCAGCACAGCCCTGAGCAGCACATACAGGAAGGCGATGACAGATTAGCACAAAGACAGGCAAACTGCTAATGGACACTCCATCCCAAAGGAGGCCAGAGGCGCATAACACACAGGCGTACACACACTGACAAATGCCCGACAGATGGACTGAATCAAAGGGAGAGTCACTGCACGGTAACAGGCCAGATTGTATACAATAAAAGGAGAGGACAGACAGAGTCCTTGACCAGCAGACAGAGAGTAAAATGCTCTGTCATTCACAGACACACACAAACCACAGCCACTCTGGAACTAAATTAACATGTATTAGTCTGCCTGGTTAAGAAGGAAAAAAAAGCAAAACGAAAAAAAAGCCATCCCAGAATAACAGGTTACATACCATAAATTAAATCGGGTCAATATTGGATTTGAAAGACTGATGCCAGGGGCTGAGGTTAGACTGGGTTTGATGGCTGAGGTTAGACTGGATATAATGGCTGAGGCAGACTGGGTATGACAACTAAGGTTACACTAGGTTTGATAGCTAAAGTTAGACTGGGATTGAAAGCTGAGGTTAGACTGGGATTAACATCTTAAATTAGCCTTTGATGGCTAAGGGTTTGATAGCTGAAGTTAGACTGGGTTTGATGGCTGAGGGTTAGGCTGATTTTGACAACTGAGGTCACACTGGGTTTGATGGCTGAGGTAAGACTGGCTTTGACGGCTGATCTTAGACTGGGTTTGATGTCAGAGGTAGACTGAGTTTGACAATTAAGGTTGCACTGGGTTTAATGGCTAAGGATAGACTGGGATTGAAAGCTGAGGTTAGACTGGGATTGACAGCAGAGGTTAGACTGGGTTTGATAGCTAAGGGTTTGATGGCTGAGCTTAGACTGAGTTTAATAGCTGAAATTAGACTGGGTTTGATAGCGGTAGCTAGACAGGGTTTAATAGCTGAAGTTAGACTGGGCTTTATAGATATGGTTAAACTGTCTTTGATAGCTAAGGTAAGACTGGGATTGATGGCTAATGGTTTGATAGCTGAGGATAGACTGGGTTTGATGGCTGAGCTTGTACTGGGTTTGATAGCTGAGGTTAGACAGCTTTGATGGCTGAGGTTAGACTGGCTTTGAAAGCTGAGGTTAGATTGGGATTGATAGTTGAGTTTAGACTGGCTTTGAGGGCTGAGGTTAGACTGGGTTTGAGAGCTGAGGTTGGACTGGCTTTGATGGCTGAGGTTAGACTGGGTTTGAGAGCTGAGGTTGGACTGGCTTTGATGGCTGAGGTTAGACTGGGTTTTGTTTTTTTATTTAAAATAAAAAGTCCATAAAGTCCAAATACACTCTATGAAAGTTTGTAACACATCAAAGCAGAAGCCCTCACCTTGGTGGCAGTCGCAGTAGGCCCAGCCAATAGCTCCAGAGCGTTGCCTAAAGAAGCACCATGGGTTCGCCTCACGGTCAGGGTTTCTACAGTAGCTGTGATGGCCCAGCCCTCTGTTTGGGTACTGCAGCATATAGTCGGGGAATTCAGTCCATTTCAAACAGGGAAAGCCTGATTCTGTCTGTGACACAGAGCCATTGTAATAACCGAGCTCTGTGAAGCCCTCAGAGCAGGACAGAGGGCCTGAGGAAACAGAAAAATACATGAAAACAAAAAAGGATTTTAGTCACACAGTTTAGATTCACTCGAATCACAAGTTTTAGAAAGAGGCATAATAGGACTATTACATACACTGTGATGAATGTTGACTAAGTATAAATACTTTCACTAGCTGAAAACGATGATCAAATGATGAAAGCCAGTCCTGTCACTGCACTAGAGGTGTGACATGAGGAGTTCTTCTTAGTTTTCTGTTTTTTTTTCTCTTGCTGTCTCTCAGTTTGTGCCTTTGCTCTCACTCTGCTTGAGTGTAGAGGGTCAGGATCTTGTGCTGCTCAGTCATACTAATGACTGCAGTGCTGCAGAAAAGGGTGTTTAGAGCATCTGCTCTATTGAGTCACACAACAGACGTGTCACCCGAACACAGATTGCACAGCTCCTGGGTTTACTCCTGTCATAGCTTAGAGTGAGTTATTACAGCGTATATGTGAATGAGACTGCAACATAAAAAAGGAAAAGCCAATACCAATTTTTTACAAAGACTGTCAAGAAACAAGTAATTATTCATATAAAATATACATTGTAAAAAGCTTTCTTTATAATTTGTATCCAAACTGCATAAAATTCAGATGTGGAATTTAGAGTTAGAGTATGTTTTCATAAGTCTATGACGTGGTAGCAAGAGCAGCTAATTATTCTGGCTTTAGGTAAATCCTATGTGAAGGAACATTCTCTCGTAAAGCTAATGTGGAGCAGGCAGCCAGGAGCAGTAATGACGGCAATCCCCATCCTTAAGCCACACTTTGGACCAACACTGCATAATACAGCATTTGGGTCCTATCAGCTACATTCCTGAGAGCAATCTCAGGTTTTTATTGGGGAAACAAACTGGCTGTGTTCTCCATGTGCATGCACGTCTGAAGTTTACTACTCTTCTACAAACTCAAGTGGCAAGAAGTGAGTAGGCCCTGCAGCAAGGTTAAGGAAAGCAGGAGACCTCCAGTAAAATGACCATTCTGTCTTTGGAAGACAGAAGCAGAGCTTTTTAAAAGCTAGCTGGCAATATAGCTGAACTGATATGATGTGTGGATGACTGCCAGCGGCTATGCTTTACACATGGACCAGCTGTTTAATGTGCATGTGTAAAGGGCCATGACTGAACTTCACTAGGCTGAAAAAAGTAATGCATTCAACTTATTTTATTCAAAGTAATGTGTTCATAAGTAATGCAATCAGTAATGTATTAATCCATTTCATGTAATAACCTTGTGTAAGGGAGCTTTTAGAGGCATTAAACACTTCAGACGTCTGGTTCCTATCACCACCGCCGTGAACAATTCTGACTCTGTAAGTTTCTCTAGAACAAAACATTTTACATCAAACCACTCTGAATGACTATGTTTGCATGTTAAATATTTAATTATCCAGAATTGTTTTAATTGATGGAATTCCTCTTTAACAAAGAAATAACAATAGACAAAAAGAAGACATAGATACAAGAGAGACGAAGGAAAGATGAGAGCTTAGTTGCAGATAAACGTTTTATCTTGGCAAATCTAAGCACCATGCGTGATTTTCTTGTGATCTCTACTTAAACTCAAGAGGAGACATACGTGAGATTATAGGGCTCTTTTTCTCAACAAAAATATCTGAGTGCAAGAGACTTAGGTAAAAGTCTCCTTTGTCTTTCCATCTGATTTCACTATTGTCTAGAAGAAACTACAGAGATATTAAGGGAATCTCTTTGTTTATTTTTATTTCCCTTAGGGAATATAAACAGTGGGGTCCAAAAGTCTGAGACCACTAGTGAGAATTGCTTCTATTTTGCATTCTTTTCTAATTTAATACAAAATGTTTCATAACAAATTAAATTATCAGCATAACAATTTGAGTGAAAAGTGGAATCTTTAAATGTTTACTTGAATTTGTATTCCTTAGTATTTGGTATGATTCTTTTACTTTAACAACAGTGTGCACTCGAGCTGGCATGGACTTCACACGTTTGTGCAAAAGCCTCTGATGAGTAGATCAAATCTACCTGAGAGTCGTCTGAACGTGAGCTTCGGTGGAAGGAATAAGACAAAATAAACTGACCTCCTTGTACAAAGGCCTTAACAAAGCCAATTTCACAATTTGGCTTAAATTTGAATAGTGCCAGAAATAGTGCAGAATCTTCAATATATCTTCTTCATTTAACTTGTCATAACTTTTTCTTATTTTACTATTTCAAAACTCTCAAACCTTCTGTTTTTTATTTCCAGGTTTAAATGAAGAAATTCCAGATTTTCATTGTGCTCTCAGACTTACCCACTGTAGATTAAAGGTAAGAATGTGTTTTTCCTTCTCCTACAAAGCCATTGTTTTGGAGATTTTGGAACAAAGATGTCTTAGGACAGCGATAATATGTTACTCATGCGGAAATTATGTGTATATTTGTATGAAGTACATTTAGTTCATTACATTTTCAGTGCAGAATGACATAGTGAGAATGCAATCATGTAGAAGTGCTACTTGTCGTTTTTTGGAGCTGAGCTGATTCTGAGCAAGAAACAGCCCTGGCTATCCATAACTCACGTAACCTGAAGCAGTTACATCCGTAGTCAGTATTAAGTTTCATTATTCCTGACTGCCAGAAGTGGGAGTGGATGATGAGTGCCAACCAAGGTCATCAGTAATCGACACACACGCGCCTCTCGGCCAACACTGGCAGAAGAAAACACGGAAGCGAAGCAGGATCAATCAGAGGACAGAATGCACTAACCTCTCTCTAACTGCCAAGGCCAGGTGCTAAACCCTGGGGGAGTTACAGTGTGTGTGTGTGTGTGTGTGGTTGGGCAGGGGTGCGGGGTAATGAGCTTTAGAAATCGTTCCCCTTCTCTCTGAGTATTACAGACTATGAAGCTTTTAAGGTAACGTGAGAGCAACTTTCGCACGTTTGAGCATGTGCTTGCAAATCTGCACCCATCCAATACTGACTCCAGCTTTGCCTGTGCCTGCTGAGCTTGCTTTGACACAGGCTTAGCGAGCTGAGGTGGGAACAGTTTACGATTTGTGGTGAGAAAGTGTGTCAGAGCTACTGTAAAGTCATCTTCCACAGCTTCCAAACATTATTCTACATTATTCTGCCTAAATGTAAATCCAGTTGTTCTGGTAGCAGAAAGTTAGCAGCAGTAAGCTTAGATTACATGATTACATTCCATAGCTCCTCACCTAGAATCAAGCATAACATTGGGCATATATATATAGTAAAGTTAAATGCTTGAGTTAAATTCTACTGTAGAAATCTACTGTCTACGCTGTAAAAAAGTAAGTAACCGGATGGCTTTAAAGGTTAAATGAACATCTAATAGTAAGTTAACAGAACAATAATGACTGTGTTCCATTCTGTTAATGGATTATGATAATCTCAAAATTTTAAGGCAGCCCAATTTTAAAGCACCATTTTTATTTTTTTAAAGGGTAGGGTTAATTACCACACCCACAGGCTTCTTTATGAATGTGTTTTGAGTCACTGGTTTTTCTGTTCTTTTTCCTGGTACAGCGAAACAAGGTGAAATTATTGTTGATGGTAATTACAGAAGAGGCAGATAGAGATTAGGTTGAAAAATGCTGCAGCATTGTTTTAAAGGGCTCATATTCTAAATTTTTATTATATTTTACTTTGTTCACTGACATCTACTTATAACATTAGTGAAGACCATTTTCGAATCTCCCTTCATCCTTTAGAATTAAACAGTCTGTTTTTGTGACGGGCGCTTTTAAGACTGGTGTATGTAAATGAGCTATGTTCTGAATGGCTGGCCTGTACTGTGCCTGGTTCAAAAAGCAATCAAAGTTGAAAAACTCTTTGCGACTTCAGCGTGAGTAGGTGGGGCTAAACGGCTATAGGTTGAACAGGTGGATATATGTATATGTGTGCGTGACATCACAAAAGCAGTGAGTTCAGTGCTGGCTGTTTTTCCAGCTTATGTTCCACATACAGACTGTATAGACTCAGCACTGAACAGTATGCTTCGAAGCTTGAACAATGTTTACAAACTACATCAAACTCACCTCACTTCACTCAGTTTTCCATGATTTGAGCCCTTTAAACTAAATATTTAGTTCACACTTATGACTAGTCTTTGAGCCAAATTCCCAAATAGAGCAGATTAGCCAAAACTTTAAGCATAATAGAGACATTTTTCAGGTTCTTCTTGATGATCCTCCACCACAACTCACCAACTGCACCACAGACTAAATTCACTTCCAACAGCAAAGAATTCTATAATACATGCCTAGTATAACTCTAATCCACCTCTAATCTCCATCATTTCTGCTTGAAGGGACTGTAATTTCCACTGTGACCAGTGTGATTTAGTAAACATTAAAACTGATCACCAAAAAAGCGCAATGATCAGGTCTTCACAAGGCTGTTGTGATATTTGGATGTGAATTATTACCCTCTTTACCTTGATTAACTATTGCTATTACCAGGAATAGTGGTATTGCTGGATATACATGACAGTGTCTTTGGCCTTTTAATTCTAATGTTACTGAGAGGGAGTTCATTAATGCTGCCTCTAGAACACATAAACAGAATACCAGTAACGACAGCTGACAAGAAATTAAAATATGCTTAGATTAAGTTTGTTCAATATGGAAAATTGGTCTTGATAATATACATACAAATATATTTTGCTGTTGTCTGAAGAAAACCTCATATCTCCATTTTTGACATTTTTCAGTTTTTGACATACTTTGAAAATACCTGTTGCACTTTATATTATCTGTAAATTTCATGATGAATGGACTAAAAGAAATGACCCAAATTCACTTGGAAAAAAGCCTGGTTTCATTGACTTACATTTAAAGTAAAGTAGGTTTTTTCTTTCTCCTGTAAAGTTACCATTTTGGAGACACAAGGTTTTGTTCCAACAACAACAATATATATATATATATATCATATATATATATATATACATATATATATATAGTTTGTCTACCTGCCAGTATATATAGCTTGCAAATTCTTCAAAATATGCTAGTGTCTGAAATACTTTGTACAGTTTGTTCAGTCCCAAATTAATACATCAGTAATCCACAAGCTTTTCTTGTACATGTTAAGTCATACCAAAGCTTGGGTTCCATGCTGTAATTCTGCCCCTACACAGCCTATAGCAACATGAAGCAATTTGCTGAAGCAGTATCCGGGCAAGATTCCAATCATAATTTTCGGGGCATTACAATAATAGACTCTGATAAAGAGCATGCCCTCACTGGACCGCAGCCACTGTAGAAGACTTATGTGTCAAGGACATAAACTATAAGAATAAGTGGTAAGAAAACCTCACATCTCCTAATTGGAAACTTTACAGGAGGAAGCTGTCGTAACGAGATTTCATTCTAATATAATTTTGAACCATTTTTATGGGTTCATTCATCATGAATGGTGTGGTGTTTTCCAATATTGCAAAAAACACTGGAGAACTTTTGATATGATGCTGACAATTTAGAAAAAGAACCCAGTGACTATCAGAAGACAAATAAATTGAGTCTGCAGACAGAGCAGTTCTGAGGAATCCTGCACTGTCTGAGCAGGGAGTGGAGGGTGTTGAGAGGCTGGGAATGCTGGTGAGAAGATCAGCATCCAGTCCTAATAAAGCAAACTGAGAAACCTGCTCAGGCATGCAGTGAAGGGAAGTGTTCAAGGTCATATGATACAAATACATCATGGAGAGAAATGAAAAATCGGTGCCATTTTCAGCCCTGTTGCTGCCAACACTCAGCCCATCAATGACACATTTGTTTAATCCCCATTCCCTCTCTCTCTCTCTCTCTCTCTCTCTCTCTCTCGCTTATATGTGTTACTCTAACTGCAAGTGAGGGGATGGTGCTTTTGGCACTGAATGAGATGCATTTGACAACGGAAACAACATTTTCTGCAATCACTTTTTGGCACGGTGCACTACACGTCTCATTTACTGCGATGTTATAAGTACAAGGAAAAGTTGCAACAGCATGGGAGAGTTATTTAAAGGACATTTAAATGTGTTGCAAATACTTTTGTACTTTTGGAGATATCAGTAGATGGGCGGACAAGACAAGTGCATTGCACTGTAAACTTTTACTGACAAAGTCAAGCAACTCAGGCTTACAAGCAATTCGTAATGGAAAGACACACATACCTGGACTCTGTAGAGAATTCAAGTAGCCATCTTGCCGTGTAACCTTTGAAGATAAAGAAAAAGTTAGAAGTAAGATTCCTCAATCTTTCGTCTACTGACATTTTCAAAAGATTCACCACAGCAATCCACAAAAAGACCTCATCTGTCTGTCATCAAATACTGTTCCACTATGCGTGAGAGCACTTGAGTTTACCCTAAATGCAAAGATTATAGCTCAGCTGTTAGCACTAAGATTAAAGCAAAAACCCTGTGTGAGTTATGGTGTAGGCTATTTAAGTGAGGTGTGATTCAGTCAGAATCGCAGTGGAAGAACCATTAACTATTTTTGGTTTGGTATGTCTCCTTTTATGCTGGCTCATACTGCTTTATTCTAGTACAAATCCTGCAGCAGAAAAAAATAATTTGAAGGACACACTAAATTCACAACCTAGGCAATTCAATTAGTGAAATGACTCAGCAAAATGTAGTGTGACACACTACAATTACCTCCACTGACATTACTATAACTATTGTCACTGTATTGTAATAATAATAATAACAATAATAATAATAATAATAATAATAATAATAATAATAATAATAATAATAATGGTGGTGGTGTTTTTACATTTATTTCACCAACATTAACACATCAACTTACACTTCTGTAAATATGCCAGTGTAAAGTATCATGTTAATTTAAAAACTGTTCTAAGCCTTCATAGATTTAAATAAATATACTGCATTTTGAACTCAGCACAGCAGAGTCTGGCACTGACACTAATAAGATGCATTTCATCATACATTACACTTCAGTCTAGTCACACTGAGCCCCTCCAACAACAACAACAACAACAAATACATGTATTAACCTTTACAACCTTTTTGGATTATCAGTTATTTTCTTTTCTCATGTATTTTGTTCAGTCAGAAAAAGCCAGACTGTGCTTTATTTACATTTTAGTGACCCCTGTATTTTGAATACAGGGCATGATAAAATGCCACACCATGCTTATATGACTTTTACTGAAAATGTCACATATACTGTTTTTTGTTGCAAGGACCCTTTTGTTATTCCTATAGACTACACAGTCAGTTATATGACAGTAGTATTTATACAGTGTAGGGAAATATAATTGTAAAATTCATTTAAATAAAAGGAGAAAAGCACTAATTTCCTTTAATCCATTTAATTCTTCTCTGTGTATCAAGGTTGTATGAAACAGATGCTCTGTGGACATGGAGCAGAATTTCCTGCACTGACTCATTCCTCACAGCCCTACAGTTTACTCACCTTCATTAGATTTCCTCTCCACATCTAATTTCACACAAACCTGCTGATTTAGCCTACAATACACCATATTTAAACTTAGTCTGAACCTGGTCAACACCTAGTAAACCCAACGGCTCAGGGAATAAATTCATCCGTGAAAAGTTGCTGTTCAAACTGAAACTGTAAAAGCAGCCTGTTTGCAGATACAGTCTGAGCCCTGTGAGTGAACCTCAGCAGTCGCCCAAAGCTCGTATTCTCCAGTGACCCATCACTGGCACCCTCCTGCAGTCAAATACGTGGCTTTATTTTTCATGTTTAACCTCTTAAACTTGGTCAGCAGCGACAAAACACACGTGGTACTTACGTCTCCCAGAACATGAAGCAAAAACCAGCACAGAGAGAGCACCGCGGGGATTCCTCCGGCGGTCCGGGTGGCCATCCTGTCAGTGGCCGCGCTGAGAGCTCTCCTCCATGGCTCCGCGATACCTACAGCCCGCTGAGCTCCAGAGCTAGAAGAGCCTCTCAACTCCACAACCCGGCTACCACCCCAACCCTCACCGCGCTCCAGCACTTCCATTCAGCCGTTAGGAAATGATACTGGAAACTAGGAGAGAGAGAGAGAGAGAGAGAGAGAGAGAGAGAGAGAGAGAGAGAGAGAGAGAGAGAGAGAGAGAGAGAGAGAGAGAGAGAGAGAGAGAGAGAGAGAGAGAGAGAGAGAGAGAGACCGCGCGCTTTAGCCTTCCTCTACTAATCACGTCAGAAAATAGACACGCGGGCAGAAGCGGAACCAAATAAACAAAACAACAAACCACGCGGAGGGAAATCAACGCACAATGAAGAAAAGAAGACACTGGAGGGCTTCACTGGGATCACACTGATTTCTTTTGCAGGCGGTGGGAGGGAATATACACTGTGTGTCCTGCTGCAGATGTGGACACAGTAAGAAACACCGTAAGAAATTCTGAATAAAGTGGGGTTCACATTTTTAACTGTTTAACCAGGTTTACACAAATATGGAGATGGGAATGCAGTGTTGGTCCTATTTGGGAGTTTTGAACATGATGCTATTTGTATAGATATTTTTAAATGTATTTTATTTAAACTTTGTTTAAGCAGGCTAGTCAAACGGAAATGTGAATACAGTTTCGCTGGCCCTGTTTGGACTTTTGAATACAGACTTTGTACTTGGTCAAAAAAGGGGTTCTTTAAAGATTCTTTAGTAAAGGCAATGGTTATAGAACCATGACGGCTCAAAGTGGAAATTTCAGTTACAGTGTTGGTCCCATTTGGAATTGTGAATACAGACTTTATTGCATTTGGAATTGTAAATACAGAGTCTACCACATTTAGTATTGTGAATACAGAGTTGATCACGTAGTATTGTGAATACAGAGTCAATTATAATTAAAATTGTGAATACAGACTCGATCACATTTAGAATTGTGAATACAATCACAATTAGAATAGTGAATACAGAGTTGATCGCATTTAGAATTTTGAATACAGAATACATATAGAGTTGCCTTGTCCTTTTTTCAAAATGTGCACAATACATAACAGGGCAAAGGTCAATTGTTGATAAGATGAATTGGCAGAATTCCCAGAGTCTACAGACTACAAGCATATTTCCTTAGTTATATGATGATTTTTCATATTTGTTCTCTGATTTCAAAAGAAAAAAAATAATCTTATTATTGAGTTAAATATAGTTGAAGGTCTCCATAGTAGATACAGCAATAGTTAAGGTATGACCAAGGTTTTCCTTAAACGTGCACCTGTGTGCACACAGAGTCAGAGAGCCTCACCCATCATTGTTCAGGTTGGGTGCGTTTAAAAGGGCTGATAATGTACATTATTTATTCACATTGTGAAAAAACATCAAAGGACACATTTAACCACTGTAAAACATGAGCAAAACATCCCTTACACAACTCGTTGTCCAAAACGCAGAGGTAGTGCATTCTCTCATTTTCCACACACACACACACATACGTATGTATTTCGCTGCTGTCTGCACAAAACTTTATATCTCCAAATAGTATCTTCGAAGGTGAAGGAAAAACATTCTTAACTTTTAATGGAAGTGAACGGATAAATATTTTTTCCCCCCAACCAATTTTGGACCATTTAAAAAAATAAAGCTTTTCAAATTATGTAAAATGATAAATAACAAAAATGGGGATGCAAGGTTTTGTCCCAAGAACAACATTTATAAATCGTATATATAAACTACAATTTTCTTATTCTATCAAAACCGCTGTGTATTTTATTTAGCTGAAATCTCACTATTAATCAGGCATCAAAGCATTTAAAACCAATGCTAAAGACTCTTATCTTCTAAGGCGTGGTTGCATTGCTTGGCACCAGACCATGCTATCTTCTTAGAGTGACGTTCAGCTGTTTTGAATCGATGTGGGCACTTGGAACTGGACCTGCCCAATTAACATCCTGCAGTTTACTACAGATTTCAAGCAGAGGGGAAAGGTCACCATTGCAGGCAGCTTAAAGTATTTCACAATAAATCTGGAACTCATGCGCTGCCCTCAGCCAGTTCCGCTCTGCCACTGTAGACAGCAGGAAGTGGTCTTGCTCCCAGCTGTAGAGTATTTTTAGTGGTTGGAAGCTCTTTGATTAGCCCAGCTTCTAAAAGCTGATTGTTTCATTAGTGTGGTAGACAGGCCTCCTGTAATGTAGCAGACATCATTTCCTTTTGCTATTTAGTGAGGTTATTGACAGTGGGGTAGATAACGAGTCTAAGGAAATGGTGGACAGTGTTATCGCAGGACCAACTGGCAATATTCCAGATGCACTTGACAATACAGCTAGTACTTTCTGAACACTAATCAAGGCTAAATTAATAAGAAATTAAAACAAGTACACAAAGATCAGTAACTTTATATTGTTTTCACTATCATATGGAATAGCACAAACATTGACCGAAGAGTGTAATGGCAAATCTAAACAATATTCAAGCCACTAAATCAGCAGTCAAATGCTGATTTATGTCTTAGTCTGTAACCCTATCCACTAAGTGATGCCCAACAGATCTACATTTGCACAATAAGGACCGATGCGAACAACAAGCGACATAAGATTATGTAATAAACTGACTGCATGACAACAGGTAATTCAGCAGATGGGATAAAAGAACAGGACATCAATTTAATCAAATCGATAACATTTAAGTTGTCAACAGATGTCAGTACACGAACATCAATAATAATAATAATTCACAATCATTCAAAGATCACAAGGTGTGAACTGCAGCAAAATCGCCATCGATTTGTCTTATACTGCTTTGACAGGCTGATCTATGATAGACTCAACTAAACACAGTAATAAGCAGATGTTCATCCACAGTCCTGTAAAAAAAGTTTACTTTGCCACTATCTGCTGCTGATAATGTGACCAATTAGGTCTGGCAAACCTCTAGACCTGTGTGGCAGAAGTTATGCAGTCTACTAGAGATATTCGGAATGGAAAATCTCAGCATCTCTTAAAGCCACGCCCAAAACCACTGCATTCAACATAAATTGTCTGTGTGGATTTGCTGATTCATTGCCCAAACTCTCAGTCCAAAATCGCTGCACATGGTCCCTGTCTTTCACACCCAGGAGTCCATAGTTGAATACATCCAGGCAGCTGGAGCTAGATCTCTTGCCTCAAGTTGGGATATCTTTTCAGGAGTTTATTGGCCTGTTTTGGCAGCAGTCGTCCTCCCTGGCCAAGAGCTTGGCGCTTTGCTTTTTCTCTCTCAGCCTGTAAGAGCAGAAACAAATTTAGCACAGCGTACATATAAACATGTATCACTGAATGCAGCTTACCACAAGAAAAATATGTTGTAAAAATATAAATACTTTTTTCGAAACTGAGCAAATATTGTCTGCTTTATATTATCTGACATGGCTGAAGGAGGGCTCATCCCAAACAACTAATTTGCTGTGAAAGCAGTCGAAGCATAAAAATGACAAAAGAAAACCAAGGCTGACCAGCAGGGAATAGCAGCTAAAATGGGGGATCAGAGTTTGTTAGAACTCCGCCCAAAGCAGGAAACAAATTATTCCAGCCATTCTTCCTAATTACCATTCCCATGTCTTCCTCAGCGGCATGTTTAATGAAGGCCATAACATTGTGCAACCATTACAGCAACAAAGTCAGCCGGGTGGGACTGTAGGATTTCCTGACAGAAACGAGTGACAGTTTTAGAGTACCTGAGCCTTTTCTATACATCTGTAGAATGCAGACACTTCATTGGAGCACACAGTGTTGTTGAAGTCATTCTGCTTCCAGCAAGCCATCAATATGGACATCTCTGTGATACATGTGGCCTCTGAAAAAAAGGATGTGCAACATGTCAAAAAGCATTTGAAAAGTGACACATTGTTTGACATTTATTTCTTGATTTAAACCATGTCACTTTTGCCCTGCTAACCCAGTGCTTCTGTGAAAACAGTCAACTACTGAAATTATATTTGGACTCTATCACAAACAGAAGTCTGATTGTTTTAACGCTAAACTCCCTCTGAATGAGAACTGGAAAATAAATTTCTTATAATGAATCCCAACTAGCAGAAGAACTATTATACCTGATTGTGAAAGATAAACTGTTTTTTGTAATGAGTTTGGAGAAGTGATCTGCAAGAATAATTAAAAAATGTAAGTATAAATATATATGCAAAATATACATTTTTATCTACACTCAAACTCATGTTTTAGTACGAATTTGCACAAAACAGCCACTCCCAAAAAAACAGCATTTTTCTGAGCCTTTGAGCAAAACATACATACATACATACACACATAAATAAATAAACAAAAAAAGTGAGATTTGTAAACCCAATGAGACTAAACGTAACAGAATGGGCAAGATGTGCCTTCCTAATTTTAATTATAAGACATAATTAATAGCTGATTAATGCAGTAGTCCACAGCTCAGCCATCCAACTTATGATATACATCTGAGAAAATGTTATGTAATGCTATTTACAGTTACCATCCAATACCAGCTTCAGCTGATCAGTCCTTCAATATATTAAATCATGTGTGCTACTGACAATTTCACTAATCCATTTAAAGACTAGAGTGCAGCAAGAACTGCCAATCCCAAAAACACTGTTGTTAGCAGCCATGTTGAGAATGCTTTGCCAAAAACAAAATATCAAAATAAATATCGATACTATCAACGTTGTGATGTGACAGATACTTCATTCCTTTACGTTCAATACGTCGCTCTCATTTCATCAAAAAGCAGACATGTCTGTTCAAACACCGCTCCTTTCACATCTTGCATGCACACTTTGCTCCTCCTCCCCTGCTCTGCTGTTTTGTTGTCGTGCTGTCACGTGACTCAGCGGCGCTAAGAAAGGACACTTTTGTGGGCTGCAGTGATTGAGGGCATAGCAGAAAGAAAAGGGGAGCGTCGTGAGGAGATATTTTATGGCCGTAAATGAAAGGCTTGCACACTGTGATGTGTGTAAGAAGGCTTTTCACTACTGTGGTAACACCACCAATTTATACAAACATATGAAAAACCACGAAAAAGAGAACTCCGAGCTGCGAGAGAAACGGCTAGTGGAGGAGGGAAATCCCTCAGACAGACCTAGACCCCCGGCACAGAGACAGAGGTCACTGTCAGAGCCCTTTCACAGAGGCAAAGATTATCCAGGTATCTTATATAGTGGTACATTATATTATTGTTTCTGAACAAAAACCTCTAACTGAAAAAGAATTTAACTTTTAAAACATTCGTTCTCCAGTAATCATTTTGTACACTTTATTTTACAAAAAGCCAGAGAAGTGCAACAAAAGAGAGAAATTGTTTTTGTATTATTTAATGGTTCCTGAACAAAAAACACAGGCTGAAGGAAAGAAAAATGTAAGTTTTAAAATATTCATTGTTCTCCAGTAGTATTTTTGTGCAGAATTCATGTTTACAAATTAAGTTCATTCAGTGGAAAGCAAAAATCACTTAGTGGTCATGAAGGTGTATTCAGATTTAGCATACTGATAATAGATTCACCTCATAAACCATGATACACTGCTCTCCCTTACAGGAAAGTACATAAACTGCTTTTATAAGTAAAGAGTATCGGTATCGGCGATACTGGCCCTGTATTTACTTGGTATCGGATCGATACCAAATTTTGCCGTATCGCACACCATTAGTCAATACTCGACAGAATCGAACACAAAGAATAGACTCGGTAAAATGAATCGAATTAGTCTAAAGCCGGCCTCCGTACAAAGCCGTTGGAGGTCATACAGATCACACGGGGAAACCCCCCAGTGCTAAACTCAATCCAGCAGTGTTAATTTATGTCCAGCTCAATTTAAATGAACAAAACACGCGTTCAAACCCGCTCAGGGTCCTAGGTGAACACTCCAGGTGTGTTTCTTCTTTAGCTCCTGATGAATCTGACAGTGAGGCATTTGAGAGGGAAGCTGAGATAAACGCTCCACAGTAACGGAGACAGCAGTGATGATCAGAGCTGCTCCTGCTCACCTCCTTTCTCTGGTCTCCGGTTGGCCACCTCGTCCTTGAGGCGCAGCGGCTTGTTGGGCTTTAGTACGGGCCGCCCGCGCTCTCTGCTCAGCAGGCGCCTCAGCGCCGTCTCGACCCCCGCGCCCTGAACCGCCATCCTCTACAGCAGCCCTGCGCACAGCGCGGAGTTCAGACCACTGACACTAAACTCTGAAAACACTCCCTGCACAGCAGACCAGCACGCTCCGCGAAACCTTCAGGAAGCCGCCATTACTGCCGTATGACGTCTGTCCAGCTGTCACTATGGTTACGCTCAACGGCACTGCCGTAAACACGTCGTAAATCGCTGCCTGAGGATGAATTTTTGAACTTTTCTGAGTACTTTCAAGTGCAAATACTTTAACTTCCTCATACGGAAAACAATATATTTGAAATATATTATATATATATCACAGTTTATTCTATATATATATATCACAGTACATTCACTATATATCAATGTTTATTCCATATATATCAATGTTCATTCAATATATATCAATGTTCATGAAATATTTTATTAGTGAAATTGTCAGTGTATTTATCCAGTGACTACAACAACAGTCACAGCAAACTGACGTTTGTGGTCAGATGCCACAGTATCTATGATTTTTTAGTGATTTTAGGCCATGTCTAGTGTCAAGGTTTTATAATCTGTAATATAAGTAAAGTGTTCACTTGGTATGAAGCGTTTGGATTGCTAGTGCTCACATCTCTCACGTCCGAGCTTTAGCTTTTCATTTTAGACCAAGAATGCAACAAAAGCTAACAAACTTGAGTTCCTATGCAGTTTATTTCAGGTGGTCAGTATAACGCTCTTGTGATTCCCGTATCAAGCTAATAGCTGCTAATCAACTGGCTGCCCATTACTGCTTTGTTAGGCAATACGCAAGGTAAATTGGGCATTTTCCAGCATCGTTTTTCTGTATTATATGTCAACATCTTGGGCACAACTCTTGCTTGACCATTTGCAGCCGAGATTTCTTACATTTGCAGGCAAGAAGGTATAAACTTCTCCTGTATAACCATTATTGGAGCATGGGGTCTGCATGAACTATACACATTAACATAGTTTCGAGGTAATTCCAAACATATTACAATTAGTTTCATCAGATTATCTTAGCAAAGCACTAGTTGGATGTCCTCATATCAATAAATAATGGTCAAAAGAGTATAATAAAAAAACTGGAAAATGTTTAATTCACCTCAATTATTGCTTCATAAATAAGTAATGTAGATTAATTACCAACTGTTAGCAGGATAAGTAAGTGTTGCTTTTTGACATGATGCTTTTTATGCCTTCTCAAGAGGTTTTGTAGTTGCAACTTTAAGTTACTTCTACCTTAGTCATTTAATTGAGGGAACAACAGTTATTTTATTAGGCTACTCTAGCTGCCACTAGTCTCAAGATTTTATGATATATAATATAATAAGGTGTTGGTCTGGTGTAAAATATTTGGCTTTGTCATGAAAAAGTCCATTTTAAATGAATGATTGTTCCTTTATTTCCAGGTTAGGTTGGGTTTTTGTGCACATCAGGGATGATGCACACTTTCCACTGCGTTAGTCAGCCCATAAAGAGCAGCTCTGGAGTTAAACACAGCAGGAACATATTATAATGTAGGACAAGCCTGAACAAACATGTTCTGGCACTTCATAACAGCAGTGCTGAGTCAGGAGGTGTAAAGCAGAGGAGGAAAGACAGTTTCCCTTCCAAAACTGCATGAGGTTCTATCTCTCTGTAGAAAGAGTTGCAATTAATGTAAAATGTATTTAAGGTCTATACTCTGCTTTAAAGTAGGATCACACCACAAAGTCCTTAATGACTGATTAAAGAATATTAGGACTTAGTTTTGAGTTCAGGCTAATGGCAGAAAGCTGGGCATGTGGTAACATTTTCATATGATGTTTGCATCACATTTACAGTGACATACATGTTTTAATTTTTTAAATGAAACTGTTCTCTGTAATTCCTGCCTTCCGCCCATTGACAGCTGGGATAGGCTGCAGCACCCCACCATTCCTGCAAGCTTGGTCAACATACATTACATGTCCAAAAGTTTGTAGACACCTGCTCATCCAAAGTATCTTCTGAAATCAGGGGTATTAAAAATTGGCCCAAATCATGGCAAAACAATTTTTAATAGAGTTTCATATATTATGCAATAACTTGTAAAACATACCATTCACTAACCAGTCTATACAGTCCAAAGCTGTAGAAATAGCCTGTTTTGAATGAACTGTTTTTGATATATCAGGAGAACCAACTCCTTTACATATATCCACCTATTCAGCCCACAGCATAAAATCTGCCAACTTATATTGAAGTTCTAAAAAGTGTTTAATCTCTTAGGACTTTTTGGATGAGACACAATACATGACATTTGTGGCATTTTGGCAGGTGCTTTTATCCAGATTGACTTACAATTTGATCAGGTTACAGAGGTAGATGAAGGTTGTGTTAAGAGTTTTGCCCAGGTTGGGGAATCAAATCCCAGTCTGCAGTGTGGAGGGCAGAGGGATTACCCACTATACACAATGCAGAGCAACCATTCAATCAGAACAAAGCTCATTTATCTTATTCAGTCTTGAAGGCACAGTAAAAAAGCAACATGTTTAATTATCAGAAAAAAGAGAAGTTGAAAAATTGTCGTGTAAAATTGAATCATGACTTTTTTTGGTACATAAAATCTCGATCACTCCAGAAAACGTAATTCTACTGCTTCACAGCCCAATGCTGAGGGGCTTTACATGCCAGGGGTGTTTTTTGCACTAGGCAAAGGCAGGCAGCTGCCAAGGGCCCCCATAAGCAAAGGGCCCCATGAAAATACTAATTAGATATGTGTGTTGCTAACCTACTCCAAAATGCATATACATTTCTAAAACACTGTTGTTTGCTGTTGTAGCAGTTGTTTTTGGAAAATGTTAGTGCAGTCTCACACTTCCAGTCATTGTTGTAATGGACTATTTCATGTTGTTACATGATTATGCAACTTTAGGGCAGTGCGGTACAAGTAAGGCACCAAGTTACAGGCTATAGTGTGGATAAGAGGTTCTTCAGTGTAATTGTCTGGGTGTTGAGAAGGAAAAATTTAACAAAGCTATCCCAGTGGGGCAGAGAAACACAAAAAGAGGAAGGAAAGAAATAAGTTAAGTCACCACACTCCCAAAGTTTCAGGGGGGTCGTTTCCTAGGGCCCCAAAATCACTAAATCCACCCCACCTCTAGCCAACACTTGGCATTGGGCATGGTGACCCTGGGCTCATGTGTGGCTGCTAGAAAGCATTGTATTCTATTAGCAATGCTTTTCTGTGGAGATTATACAAGTTATGTGTGCACAAAAGAACACCTGTGTCAACAATGAATATCCTAAAAAGTAGCTGAATTCACTAATTAGAAGGGCTGTCTGGATACATTTGGACACATAGTGTAGTGTCATAGAAAGAAAATTGCTCTGTATGCTGGACTATATGCACATAAGTCATTCTAAATTTGTGCATGGTATTTTCCAGAGCAAACATCAATCATTTGCTGAACTCCTTCACCTCTTGACAAGGTGAGAGTCTGTATAAATATGAAAATAAGCATGTCAACCATGTGGAAATAAATCTTGCATCCATCCAGGTGAAGCAGGGTAGCAGAGGGCATGCTGGACCCTCAGGAAAGAGTGAAAGGCAAGTCAGGACTCTTTTAAGTACTCCCTCATTTTCACTCATATTTTTACTTTATCTGTTTTAGTTATGCCTAACTGACTCGTCCTGCTTTTTCCATGTCAAAGTTTCCTTAAGGGTACGGTTCCAGCTGATGATGAGCTGCACCAGCCTCCTGCATTCCATTAAACAGCAGCTTGTTCTCAGAGCTGCTCTGGTATTCTGTCTGTGTCTCTGCATGCTTCCAGCTGGGCTAATGTATAACATAGCAAGTGCTTTTTTAGTTGCTGAGTAAATAAGCTGCAATCATTTTTGTCGAAAATATTCCTGCAATGTTGAAATGTTTGGATTTGGTCATGGATGGTTAGTAACCACAATAACTCCACCTCATTCCAGTTCATGTCTTTGTTTTTTTTAAATACTGGAAAGCACTATGTGCCTCAGAGAACTGAAAATGTATTTTTTACAGGCTCAATATCCACTAAACCTCAATGATACAAGCTAACATCTTATGCAGAGGTTTGAACACTCCAGTCAACTTCAATCTTCAGTCACGTTTTCCTGATTTTCTCAGTGAAAATAAGTTAACACATGCTCTACTGCAGGACTGCCCAGAGTGTGGCCTGGGAGCCAAATTTGGCCTGTGAGGACACTGGATTTGCCCACTAGAAAGTAACTTTGACCCCATCCCCTCACCCAAAGACAGGACAAACGTATTTTATACTACATATAACTTGTTAAATTCTTATGTTCCTAAGAAAATTGTATATTTTAGTAACAAAATTGAATTGGACACTACCTACTTATTGTTCATTGTTTGTCTTTTTGGGCCTTGGCTAACATTGTACATTTGTCCACCGAAAGAAAAAGTACTGCCCCGAAGTGTGGCCAAAGTTACCCTGACCCCAATCCCACAACCAATGAGAAAACAAACATGTTTTAGACTATATATAACCTATTTTACTTATCAAACTCTCAGTTTTCTTTTATAATTGTATTTTTGAGTATTTTAGTAACAAAATACAGTAAAATGGTGTAAATTCATTTTTTTAAATTTGAAATTGGACACCTACCTCCTTTCTTTATTGTTGATTGTTTCGGGGCCTTTGAGATTACGTGCAGTACAGGAAACATGCTTCAGCTAATGCACAGTTACTGTTTATTTGCTAAATTTTATCATATTAGAGAAAAATAAAAAACATAAAATGCTGTATGTGCAAATATTTGAGCACACTTTATATTTAATTTTTTTCCAGCATGTTAAATTCAGAAAATGCATACAAATTGTGCACTAAAATTTGCATAAAAATGCTATATCATGTTTGTTTCCTGTTGAGGTTGTGTTAGTTTATATGCAATTAGAAAATCAACAAAACATGTAATCTGACCAGGGGTGCCCAAACCTTTGCATTAGACTGAATAACCATTTTAGAGGTGTGTAAGTTCCTTAATACAGTCCATGCAAGTCAAACCAAATTTTCCCACTAAAAGGCTAGATACAGATGCTAATTCAGTGTTTTTATGTGAGGTATGTGGCATATTGATAAGTGGAATGCAGGCAGAATCTATTGGTGTGAACAATACTCGAGAGACAATGAATGGCCCTT